GAGTGTGTCTGAGCCTCGGACGTTATCAGGAAGTCTATTCCAGAGTGTAGGAGCCATGAAAGAGAAGGCTCGACCTCCTTTACTTGATTTTGCTATTCTAGGCACTACCAGAAGCCCTGAATTTTGAGATCTTAAAGAGCGAGTTGGTTTGTAGCGAGACAGAAGGTTGGTTAGATAAACAGGAGCTCGATTATTTAGAGCTTTATAGGTGAGAAGTAATATTTTAAATTCAATACGAAACTTAACAGGCAGCCAGTGTAGGGAGGATAAAATTGGGGTTATATGATCATATTTTCTAGACCTGGTCAGAACTCTGGCAGCTGCATTTTGTACTAATTGAAGTTTGTTAATAGAGGATGCTGGGCAGCCAGCAAATAGAGCATTACAGTAATCCAGTCTCGAAGTCATAAAAGCATGGACTAGCTTTTCTGCATCTGAGATGGATAGCATATTTCGTAATTTAGCGATATTTCTCAGATGAAAGAAGGCGTAAAAGTAGACGAAACCTTTTGGCTCGAGATCTCAGCTCTTCACTTCCATTGATTTTTAGCCATTAAAACAGCTCGTTCTGCTGCTCATAAATTTTCCCTTGGCTTAGTCCCTTTATTAATCAGTGGTCACCACAGTGAAATGAACCACCAACTATTCCAGCATATGTTTATGCAGCAGATGCTGTTTCAGCTGCATCCCAGTACTGGCACAGTAGTGTTTGAACTGTGAGGGAAACTTGAGCACCTGGAGGAAACCCACACCAACACGGGGAGAAACTCCTTATAGAAATGCCAACTGACCCAGCCGGGACTTAAACCAGCGAACTTCTTGCTGTGAGGCCATAGTGCTAACCACTAAGCCACTGTGTCACCCTGCTTAATATTGCAAACTGATATTTTCTTTTTATATTATTCTACTTTTTCCCAGGAAGGGCATCCGCTGCGTAAAATATTTGCTGGATAAGTTGGCGGTTCACTCCGCTGTGGCGACCTCAGATTAATAAAGGGACTAAGCTGAAAAGAAAATGAATGAATGAATGAATTAATTAATTATTCTACTTTTTTATTATACTATTTTTAATTATTCTACTACGGAACTGAACTTAAACTCTGAAAACTGTACTGACACATTTTCAGTTTACTAGAACTTCTATGTGAAGCTGCTTTGACACAATCTACGTTGTAAAAGCGCTATAGAAATAAAGATGAATTGAATTGACCATTTTCTATTATTTATTATTCCTAGTAATTTCTACGACAATTGCAAAAACTAGCGATCTTCCGCATTGCGGAATAATATCATGCATGCTTAAAACACTAGTATTTAATCTAAATGACTATTATAAATTGTTTTTTGCCATTTTAAATTCTCTAAATTCCATTTTAATTGTTTATTTACACCTGTATAATTTTGTACATTAGAAAGCGTGACTTTCCCTTCCCTTAAAAATGCCTTACAGTACAAGTTTCATGTCTGCATGCAGCAAACCCAGACCACATCACTATCACATGATCTGTAGCCATAGGGAATGTACTGTAGAATCCTAGATTAATATTGTCAATCTACTGACCAAAATAAAAAATAACATTTATTATAAAGCTTTCTGGAATAATTGGATCTAATTATTAAATTACAATATTTCAATGTTTATTATTTTAGCAAGTGATTAAACTAATAACACAGACTCATCCAGGTACTACTGACCATTAGTGAATATAAGCCTGTTCTGCTCACAAACATGCATTTATTTAGCAAAAATACAGTAAAACTTAAACTATGATGTGTTTTTTGCAATGTTTAAGGTATTTTATTGGATGTAATTTTAAATGTGGTTATTTATTGTGGTTAGAAGCTGAATTTTAGGCATGAATAGTCTTCAGTGTTACATAACCCTACAAATATTCTAGTGTCAGGATTTTCTTTAAAAAATATTATCATTAGGGGGCATCATGGTGGCGCAGTGGGTAGCACGATCACCTCACAGCAAGAAAATCTGTTTCAAGTCCCGACTGGGTCAGTTCTGTGTGGAGTTTGCATGTTCTTCCTGTGTTCGCGTGGGTTTCCTCCAGGTGCTCTGGTTTCCCTCACAGTCCAAACACATGCGCTGTAGGGGGATTGAATAATTAAACTGTCTGTTGTGATAAGTGTGAATGCAAGAGTGTATGGGTGTTTCCCAGTGTTTGGTTACAGCTGGAAAGGCATCCGTTGCGTAAAACATATGCTGGATAAGTTGGCGGTTCATTCCGCTGTGGCGACCCCTAATTATTAAGCGACTAAGCTGAAGGAAAGTGAATGAATGACATTATCAGTGTTGTTTTCAGTTTGGGAAACCATTCAAATATCATTAAGATTTATTTACTCTTATTAATCACATTGTATAGCTTAAAAGTGAAAGTAAATACATTTATATTGGTAAAACTGATCAGAAAAGAAAATATTATATTGAAATTAAAAGCATGAAATCTATCAGAGTTTTTGTATAAGTCCTCCAGACTTATCCAACAGCTGCTGAGAAACCTGTAGTGCTTTATTCTGTGAAAACCAGGTTAGCGTTAGATGTACATGATCTCTTACTGCTCTAGTTTGTATATAGAGTAAATACAGATTTCAAAAGTATCGATTTTTAAACCATTTCTGTGAAAGGAACTTAGCTAACATCTGCTTACACTTTGTTCACAGGTCTGCAGATAGCACCATGGACTCCAGAAAGAGGTGAATGCAAGCACACTTGCACATCTTGATCAATTTAAGAGTTTACTCATTATGAGAATAATGTTCAGTTTCTTGTAAAGCGATTTTTTTTGCTTTGTAAGACCTCAATGTATCACTAGTATTCATTTTGTGTTTTTATTTTTACTCTGAAAATAGCAGGATATGCTGACTTGCATTAAATGAATCATAAATAACCACAGTTTTCTTTAATGTTTTACTGAAGAAAACAATTCTCCAATATCTTGTATGAAATACATGTGATCAAATTAGTAGCGCATTTTCATGTATATCCTAACTAGCTATTTAATGCATATGGCGATTACTGACCGACTATGATTTTTTTGTGTTTAGAGTATGCTTTTAAGTTTGGACCTTTTAAAAATATAAATTTTAATTATAAAATTATAATTAACATGTTATAGGTTTAAAAATAGTCTTATAAATGAGTATACACTCACCGGCCACTTTATTAGGTACACCTTACTAGTACCAGGTTGGACCCTTTTATCTTCAGAACTGCTTTAATCCTTCATGGCGTAGATTCAACAAGCTACTGGAAATATTCCTCAGAGATTTTGCTCCATATTGTCATGATAGCATCACACAGTTGCTGCAGATTTGTCGGCTGCACATCCATGATGCCAATCTCCCGTTCCACCACATCCCAAAGCTGCTCTATTGGATTGAGCTCTGGTGACTGTGGAGGACATTTGAGTACAGTGAACTCATCGTCATGTTCAAGAAACCAGTCTGAGATGATTGAGCTTTATGACATGCTGCGTTATCCTGCTGGAAGTAGCCATCAGAAGATGGAGACACTGTGCTCATAAAGGGATGGACATGGTCAGCAGCAATACTCAGGTAGGCTGTGGCGTTGATGCTCAATTGGTACTAATGGACCCAAAGAAAATCTCCCCCACACCATTACACCACCACCACCAGCCTGAACCGCTGATACAAGGCAGGATGATCCATGCTTTCATGTTGTCGGAGCCGAGCATCCGAATGTGTCAGCAGAAATGGAGACTCATCAGAGCAGCAACGTTTCTCCAATCTACAGTTTCGGAGAGCCTGTGTGAATTGTAAAATACTCGAACCAGCCTTTCTGGCACTAACAACCATGAAAGTTCAAAGTTCCCTTACTTCCACATCCTGATGCTCGCTTTGAACTGCAGCAGATCCTCTTGACCATGCCTACATGCCTAAATGCAGTGAGCTGCTGCCATGTGATTGGCTGATTAGAAATTTGCGCTAACAAGCAGTTGAACAAGTGTGCCTAATAAAGTGGGCGGTGAGTGTATATGTCCCTCAGTTGTACTCTTTACCACTAGGGGCGCATTTTTATACATGCTCCTTGATTTCTTATGAGTAATTTTTTTATTTTTAATATTTATTTGTAGGAAAACTGTAAGTCTGATTGGTCTGATGTGACAGCATCCTATTTGGCCTAGGGCCCATTTGGCTTGTAGCGTTAGACCCATAGGAGAATATTGATATAGAATTCCTTGGTTTATCAGAAACTGTAATAATGATAAGTTTAAATAGCGTAACACTATGTTGCCTTTCTCAAGCCAACATAATTAATGACTATTTTGGAGCCAAACTAATCCATAAATTGAATCTTTTAATAGGTCAGCAAATAATTACTATTCTAAATTGCAGAATTATACACTTTGACTGTTGTTTTTCTGGATGTTTTCATAAAGGAGATCCTCCTCTCCTGAGTCCAGCTGTGTGTCCATAAAGAGTGACGCTTCAATGGACAATCCACCAACACTCAGATTGGGAGAATCTCCTGCGAAACACAGGTGAGAACTGGGCTAAAAATCTCAAAAGGTGTACCACAGGTTTCTATTCTAGCACCTTTTTTATTTTCCACACTCTTAGTTACATTTGTGTTCCTAACAGGTCCTTAATGGTACATAATAATACCCAAAAGGTACAAATGCATACCTCCTAGTACCCTAAAGGTACAAAAGTTGCAGTAGTCGTATTGCAGAACATGCAATGTTGAGTCTGGATTAAAATTTATCATCTACATGTGTTTTTAAATCCTGTGACTATATGAGAATTTTAAAAGCATAAGAAATTGTACCATTTGTAACTTTAATAACAATTAATTGTATTGAATTATTTATGCAACGAAGACTATGCAGTATAAGAACTGTATACTTGAATGCTGTTAGACTCCTCAAAAAACATTCTTTCACTTGTACAGTATCTTTTTTTATTTCATTGATCTGTGCTTGTAGACTGTTTATTATATTTATTCAGATACACTCGCCTACAGAATCTTCCAAAAAATGATTCCATTTTTCTAAATAGAGCTATTCAAGTGATTTGGTGGTGTTCATATCGCAATATATATCGCAGAATAACAAAATATTGCAATGGTAGATTTTTCTATTATGCTGTCCTAGTATATGATGAGGAGTTTAATCTGTCTTTTTTGCATTGATGAATGTTCACTTGAACACACACATGTTGGTATTGGTGGTGTATAAGGACTCTCTATAGTCATAATGTAGTTTATACAGTAAAAACAGCTTATTATATGGCTGTAATCCACCTCTACCCCTAAACCCAACCCTCACAGCAAACCTGTGGCAAAATTTTAAAGCCATTAAATATCTACGAGTACAGTCCCTGACAAAAGTCTTGTCGCTTGTGTACAAATTGACTTTAAGTGTCACTGAAGTATATTTCTAATCAAGATTTTTTTACAAAAAATGGCTCATTTTGATCCCAACAGCTTTTGTAATAATGTTTCAGTACAAAATGAAACTGTCAAAAAGTATTCCTATAGTCCCAGCTTTGTAAAGCCAATTGAATCAATTTTTGCAAAGACATAAGTGTTGTCGCCTTGTCATATGAGCTTCACCTTTGACTAATAATGGATCAATTAGGTCTCAGGTGTGTATAAAAAGAACCACAGAACCTCTGCAAAAATGCCTAAGATTCACCCTGAGACTAAAGTGTTGATTATCAAGAGGCTCAAGACCAGATCCACTGCTGATGTGGCAGACACCTTTAAAGTGTCTCGGTGTCAAGTACAGAGGATTAAAAAAAGATTTGAAGAGAATGGAGATGTCTTTGACAAGCCCAGGGCCGGCAGACCTCGCAAGACAACTACTCGAGAGGACCGTTTGCTGGTTTGTTGTTTGAAAATCTTAGGCCAGCCCATTTTCCACTGCCGCAGAGCTTCACAAGACCTGGTCACCTTAAGTCTCTGTGTCAACCAGAACAGTTTGTTGGATTCTGTCTCGAAATGGCCTCCATGGCCGAATTAGTGCCCAGAAACCAGCACTAAACAAAAGACAATTGAAAAGCCATGTAGCATTTGCCAAGGCCCATAGCCTGCTAAATGGATGGACACTGGAAAAGTGGCAGAAGGTGGATTTTTCAGATGAATCTTCTGTTGAATTATGCCACAGTCGCTGCAAATATTGCAGGAGACCTACTGGAGCCCGCATGGATCCGAGATTCACCCAAAAAACATTGAAGTTTGGTGGTGGAAAAATCATGGCCTAGAGTTACATCCAGTATTGGGGTGTGCGAGAGATCTGCAGGGTGGAAGGCAACATCAATAGAAAAATTTCATAAGAAATCTTAGCTACCTCTTATATTCCCAACCATAAAAGAGGCCAAATTCTGCAGCAGGATGGTGCTCCATTGCATACTTCCATCTCCACATCAAAGTTCCTCAAGGCAAAGAAGATCAAGATGCTCCAGGGTTGGCCAGCCCAGTCACCAGTCATGAACATCATTGAGCATATGTGGGGTAGGATCAAAGAGGAAGCATGGAAAACGAAACCAAAGAATATTGATGAACTCTGGGAGTCCTGCAAGACTGCTTTCTTTGCTATTCCTGATGACTTCATCAACAAATTGTATGAATCCTTGCCAAATCGCATGGATTCAGTTCTTCAAGCTTATGGAAGTCATACAAGATATTAAATGTGGATCTCACTGCACCACTACTTAATTTGCTGACATATTTTTGTATCTGCAGTAAATTTGTTCAATTTCCATATAGGCGACAGAACATTTGTCTTGGCAAAATTTGACCTTTCTGTTTTGATTAAATGATAAATCTTCTTTAAGTGAAACTGATTTATTTCCGTGTATTAAACTACATTTGGGAGGGTTTTAGCTTTTCATATGAGCTCTTCCTAACACCAATTGATTAATTAAAAGTCAGGTTAACAGCAGGTGTTTCTACAAAATAGATAAGCAACAAGACTTTTGTCAGGCATTGTAAGTCATACCCATGTCATTATTCAGAAATGTGTCCTTGCAAATTACCAAAACCAGTAAATACACACACACACACACACACACACACACGTTTAACAACATGTTGCATTGTTTTTATACATCTGGTCTTGACAAATGTGACAGCATGTCCACCAAACAGGTACATATGTTAAATGGAGATTCATTAAAGATACTGTACAAAATAAACCTGATTTAACATCCACAAACCAGCACTAGTACTGTTGTTTGTTTGAAGCATTTCCGTTTACAGTTGTGTAGTGATACTTATGTAAACCTTTCCTGCTCTGTCTCTTTGTTGTGTTAGAGATAGCAGGGGAGATTTACTTATTACTCCAGGGCCGAATAATATTAGTTTCGGGATTAACTCCCTTCTCTTTTTGTTGCAGCCAGTGAATGAAAGAGGACACATGTAACTTGGTCCAAAAATGTATTACTCTCTGTGTGGTACAACAAAATAAGTCACCAAAAAAGGAACATCTTTGAAAACAGTCTCATTGCGAAAAAACTGCTCTTCTTTTCTGACTCTCCCTCTCCACTTCACACACATAAACACCAAATTGCAGTCCCCTTCCCTTAAAGGACCCACACATTTTACAACACTAAGCAGCTGTGGTCATTCCAGCATATCTTGCCATCTTTACTTTATTAAAAACATGCACTGTTTAATATCTTGTTTTCTATTATTGTTTTGGCAAAGTGTAATTAAAGTAAACAAGACAGCAAATTTCTGATTAGTAAGACAATGCCAGATTTATTCACCTAAACTGGCACATTGATGACATGATGATTTGTTCAGAATGCCATATAAAAATGTGTACTACATCTTGAGGTGAAGCTGCATCACAGAATGCTGAAATAGATCCATCTTTTAATTCCAGTCTCTTAACAAATCCTGCCTTGTATTGCCTCTCAAAATGTAAAAACTAAGAGCTGACTGATAGTATGCGACTGTCAATCCTTATCCGTGAGCGTAGTTAACTAATGCTACGCCACAGAGTGGATGGCCTCAAGATCAATCGCTTATGGATCATGGTTTAATTTTAGGACACTCTAAAAAAGGACTTGCTGGAATTATACCACTCTAATATTGCTGTACACACTACACACAATTCTGTGCAAACAGCTTTCAAAAGATAGCTGCTCTTTAAACATTTTAAATGCTGTTGTTTTTCTGGATGTTTTCATAAAGGAGATCCTCCTCTCTTGGATCCAGCTGTGTGTCCATGAAGAGCGACGCCTCAATGGACAATCCACCAACACTCAGATTGGGAGAATCTCCTGCGAAACACAGGTGAGGAATGCTCTTATGAATGAAGAACTGGGCTAAAAATTCATTCATTCATTCATTTTCACTTTATTAATCAGAGGTCGCCACTGCGAAATGAACCAGCAACTATTCCAGCACATGTTTTACGCAGTGGATGCCGTTCCACCTGCATCTCAGTACAGGAAAACACCCATACACCTTTATTCACACACACACACACTCATACACTACGCCCATTTTAGTTGATCAATCCCCCTATAGCGCATGTGTTTGGACTGTGGGGGAAACCAGAGCACCCGGAGGAAACCCACGCCAACACGGGGAGAACATGCAAACTCCACACAGAAACAACAACTGACCCAGCTGGGATTTGAGCGAGCGACCTTCTTGCTGAGAGGCCACAGTGCTAACAACTGAGCCACCGTGTCGCCGACACTAAAAATTATTATTTTACACAATTAATTACACAGTAGCATATTCAGTGAATCATGCAATAGAGCCCCGGCTGTGATAAACTGTAGATTACACACAGTAGATTACTGGAAAGAATCCTGATTCAAATTCAGCGCTTTTCACATCAATTATTGTTTCAAAGCAGCTTTACAATCAAATATACTCAAGTAAATGTACTAACACTTGGAATTGACAAATTTTTATTTATCTTAAAGGGTCATGAAACACCAGAACACATGTGTTGAGCTGTTGACAGTGGTATATGTGTCCCACACTGCTATAAACACTATTAGGACACCTATATTTCACTAAAAAGTGTAAATTGGTTGTTTTTGCGTTATTTCAAGCAAATTCGTACTTCCGGTTTGAAACGAATTTTTGAAGCTGCGTCACGGTCATGACATAATAGCGTGTATTCCAGCGTGCAGACTGGACGTCTGAGCCAGAGTGAGTCTTATTACGTCTTACAGTGTGCTGCATTAATGCATGAGTAAGGCTTGGTTCAAACCAATCAGCGCGCTCTATTGTGCAACTTCATTAATATTCATTACTGTCACCGTGTTTACACGACAGAGACGCCACGTTGTGTTGGCAAAACAAGCGTGAAGTGTTGCTTTTATAGTTTGCTGCAGTGAAGTTTTGTTTTCATTTTCTCTCTGTGAGAGCGCAGCTGGAGTCACGTGTGGATTAAGTGTACGCGACGCTCGACAACAATAACTTACGTGTCTAAGGAGGATTATTGTTTACCTGAGAGCTGTTCTCATCGGCAAACGCTGAGATCCGGATTCACTTTAGTCTTCTCTTAATAAAGACGCGGCTCTAGTTGCTGGTGATTGTTCTGTCTCTACAGATTTGGTAAGTGAGCGTCCAGTGCTCTTTGTTTATTCAGTTTGTTCGTATCTAACAAACTATTGCACCGAGTGTAAACATGTTAGCACCACAACCAAACTTTAACCTCGTGTAGGGTTTCTACCGCATTTAGTGACCGGAATAACACACGCGGCTTTCTGACGCTACCTGCCGTGTGCATCTAAGTTTCCGGGAAATGCTGAGGTTTTTTTTCTCTCATTCGCCGTGCGGTATCAAACATTGCATGAAAAATACACGCTTAGAGCAGATCCTCCAATCAAATATCTCGTTTGTCGCGAGGAACATGAATGAATTCCCTGAATGAAAGAGCCAAACTGCAGTTAAAGTCCACCATTTAATCATTTGGCAAATAATTCCACTACAGATGTCCATGTAGGTTAAACAACATCACTTTCTCCTGTGTGTGTGTGTGTGTGTGTGTGTGTGTGTGTGTGTGTGTGTGTGTGTGTGTGTGTGTGTGTGTGTGTGTGTGTGTGTGTGTGTGTGTGTGTGTGTGTGTGTGTGTGTGTGTGTGTGTGTGTGTGTGTGTGTGTGTATTTTGACTCTGAAACTCGCGCGTGCCCAAATAGACACTCCCACACCATCCCACTTTTCTTCCTCCGACACTCCCCCCTAAACAGAGCTGGACACGCCCACTTTTCTGACTTTTTCCAAAGTAGAGGTGTGAAAACACCCTGCTGAAACAAGGGGGTTTCATGGCCCTTTAAGGGGGTTAGTTCACCCCAACATGAAAATTGTTCTATGGTTTATTCACTCATAAGCCATCATAGGTGTATATGACTTTCTTTTTAAGTTGAAACCAATTACAGTTCATTTAAAAATGTGGCTTTTTCAGCTCTACAAAGGAGGTGCAACTTCAACTCTGTCTTCATTCTTACTATTGTTACCAGTGATCTTAAATGCACGACTTTAGTGCTGTAACCAAGCGGCAACCTCCCGCTCTCCCTCGGGAGGCCAATACGGAAGTAACTGAAACTGCAATTCATCCGAAATTCCGCTAGTCCTGGCTCCATAATAGAGCAAAGTTTAATTGAGCCCACTGTTAGAATGGCCAACTTTACAGCAGAAAAAAAGGTGTTTACAGCCTGGTACAAAGAATGATTTTGGTTAATACAGCTAATATTACTCTTCATGACAACTGTGAGGGGGTGAATATTTTTATAACTCATCCGTTTCCTTTATATTAAGTTATATTAAGTTTGCATAATTAAGGGCGTGGCCACTTGATTGACAGCTAGGTCTCGTTGGTCGCCGTCACTTCACCTCAGCTGAATCCTGCAGATTAGCCACTGATTTCAGCATATTCATCATATTTTTGTGTTGTTTTATGTGGCTTTACACAGTTAGTTGCCTTTTGGGATTATTTCCTACAATTATCAGATGATATGGGATGCTGTGTGCACTTAATTGTGCTCACAAACCATTCACGTGGCCTCTGTTTCCCATGTGAGTAAAGTTATATAGTTGTAAACCATCTCTATAAATGTATTTGTTTTATTTAAGATCATTTATCATTTTTAATGTTCTTTAGAGCTGTAATGCACTGCAGAATCTGACAGATTGAAGCGTTGTCATACAGTGTTATGCTTGATTTCATCAATAGTCCTGCATTAACTAACACAGACTACATCTGAAGTGTTTGGAAGTAATTCGCGTTTTCCTCCTGTAGGAAAACGTCATAAGAACAATGTTTAGTGGCTCAATGTATTACAGCAGTGTTTTTACAAGTCTAAACACTTTATTGATATAGTATACAGACGAGCACATGTGGTCAGAACACAAACAAGTCGCAGGTGATAAAGTATTGAGCGTTCTCCCAAAGTAAAGTTTGTCTAAGGGTACTTTCACACCTACACTTTTGTTTCGGAACCTGTCTTGTTTGCCCAGTTAGTGTGGTTTGTTTGGCATATGTAAAACCACCAATCGCTCTCAGATCCGCGCCAAATCAATCGCTCCGAGATCGCTTGAATAAGGCTGCTTTCACACCTGTGAATGGATTCAGTTGTTCTGAAACAGAGATTATAATTGTTACAGTGTTGCTCTTTGCTCTTGGAGCGGTTCACTTTCACACTGCAAAGTTTCTAATCGGACCAAAAGAGCTAAAACAAGTCACGTGTGAGTAAACTCTCCTCACATTGGTCAGTGTCAGGGTTTATTTTGCAGCGTCCCGCTCAGCTGTCAGGAGAGGTGGTGGTTTGGTGGTGATTGACAGGGTGCGTGCGCGACGTGTCTGAGGAGAGATGCGGTGGGGAGGGGTGAGAAGGGTGCGCGACGTAGCCTATTTGAGGACCGGGAGGGAGACGCGAGATTACCGGGAGATCATCACTCGTTTGCGGGCATCCGGAGACTCACGAAACTTCCCGCCCTACTCATAATTCTCTCTCCATATAGCCGTAAGCCTATTACATATCCATAAAACACTGTGATATAACCGCACTCGGATCAGATCGCTTTCTCACTGCAATCGAACCGATCCAGAGTTCGTTTCAATCGAGCCATTAAAATTCCTGTGGATCAGATATGTGCACCCCTGCTAACAATAAACATTCAGCCATTTTTTCATGTAATCAGCCACAATGCTCAAGTACTATTAATAATTGGAATAATGTACATCCAGCCAGTAGTTATCCCAAAGTAACCCTTCAGTCTCATACAACAGCCTAAACAACAAGCTGGAGGTACATTTACTTTACATACTGTATATATGCAGTGCATTTAATTGTTTTTAATTGTTTTTTTATAAAGGAGATCCTCCTCTCCTGAGTCCAGCTGTGTGTCCATGAAGAGCGACGCTTCAATGGACAATCCACCAACACTCAGATTGGGAGAATCTCCTGCTAAACACAGGTGAGAACTGGGCATCTCAATGGGTCTATCCTGTTAAAATAAAGGATACAATAAAATGACAAAATATGCATATGTTAAAAGTCCAAGCAGCATCCCACCAGCATCAAATCAAAGGAATAAAATCATGTTCTTCAGACTGAGGATGGACACTATGCGCTATTTGCTTTAGTAAATGTTTTCATGTTCATCTACAGTGACAACCAAAAGCGATCACAGTCAAATAAAGGCCAGAAGCAGCTAGACGCCATTTTCAAGGTGAGGTTTGTTTGTTTTTTAATTTAGGCCTGAATATTATTTAGCTCAATTTAATTCAATTCAAGTTTATTTGTATAGACCATTTTGAGGGATGTAAACAATAATAATGGTCCTGATGTATTTCCTGTTTTACATTTTAAATTTACAGAGCTTCTGAGGGTCCAAAAAGTTCCACGTATTGATGAATAATGTTACAATAGCTGTTGTAGCATCAAGTTTTGATTGAATCACCTCTTGTTACAGATATGAAATAGAATGACAATAAGCAGGAAATATTCATAGGCCATTGACATCACCACATTGAAACGGTCTATAGCACTTTTCACAATAATAATTGTTTTAAAGCAGCTATGCAAAAGGTGCACATTACATTGCATTACAATCAAAATCAGAAACGTTAAAGTTTTAAAATAAAATTTACCCTTATTTCTTACATTTGGCAGCTGATTTTGTTGCAGAGCCATTACCCTCCTTATTTAACTTGAGGCTCACTTCTAATGTAATACCTAAAATGTGGAAAATGCAATGGTTAGTGCAGTGTGCAATGGTTATCCAATAATAATTTAATATTGTTAATAGTTGCCATCTTTCGGACGCCGCCATCTCTATTCTGCCGCCCTACTCTAAGCAGATATAACTGAGGGCGCGAGAGGTGAGCCCACCTAGGTCGCCTCTATTCAAGTGGAGCTGCACACTGGTGGTGCTGTGAAGAGACCCCCCCTCCTGTTTGTGAAGTGCTTTGGGTGTATGGCCACACTGTAAATGCGCTATATAAATACACATTACATTACATAATGCTAATAATGTTACCCCATTATTAAAAAGGGGGAGATCATGCAGACCCGTCCTATTTCTAGACTGTCGATTTTAGTAAAAGTCTTTGAATCATTGATAAATGACCAACTAAAGCAATATTTGTCAGTTCATAATATTCTTCAGGATTATCAGTCAGGGTTCAGATCAGGACATAGTACTGTCACAGCAGCTACACTAGTCTAAAATGATATCATATCCTCTTTAGACAGTAAACAGTCCTGTGCTGCTCTATTTATTGATTTGTCCAAAGCTTTTGACTCTGTAGATCATAAACGTTCGAGGTTACAGAAGTAACCCTTCGTTCCCCGAGGAGGGGAACGGAAGTGCCATGAATGGGAGGATTCGGATCAGAAGCCGCTTATCTGGAGAGTATTGAACGGGCCAATGAATGAAATTAATTGGCAGCGTAAGCTTGCGCAGGTGTGCGACATCTGCAATTATCTCAGCATATAAGCACACCTGAAGCCAGCAGACGCCATCCTTTTAAGCTGAAGAGACTTTCAAACAGCTAAGGGACAGTCATTATGGCGACGGAATATGGCACTTCCGTTCCCCTCCTCGGGGAACGAAGGGTTACTTCTGTAACCTCGAACGTTCCCCTTCGGTTGGGGAACTTCAGTGCCATGAATGGGAGAATATGGAAAGCGCCACAATGACTGCACCTTACCAACACCCCCGATGAGGAGATAGTCAAGCAAGCGTGACGCACCCACATCATGGGGGGCGCGGTCCTCCAACGTGTCCCTGGCCCTAATTTATCCTACTTCAACAGAAGTTTTACGGATTTAGATATATTTTTTGGGAAGTCGTGAGCATCTAGATAATTCTAGGAATACGACAGTACGTTGGGAAGCGTGCAATCCCGATAGGGAGGACGCTGCGGAGGCCATCCGTTACCCAAGGGGGGGATAGATGGCAGAATTTACCTATGGACTAGCCCTAAAAAGGGGGAGTACGCATAGCAAAGAGTGGTTAGCGGAGAGGGAAGACACGGGTCCGCCCAGGGGGGGGACTTAACCGTGGCGGAATAAGCATATGGGATCGCCTAGTGGGGATCACGCATAGCAGGCACCTATACCCAAAACGCGGGCTGACCAGCGGGCAGACCTACAACGTAGTGGGCCAGCAAGTGACTCCTCCGCTGAGTCAGTGCTGGGGGCCACGGAGGAATCTGCAGGGCTCACCTGACGGGGAACTTTACTGACAGATAAAAAAGGCGCACGTACCTCCGTGTTAGGGAGAATGGCGCAGCAAGCGTGTTTCAACACCCTACCGAGTTGTCTCCTCAATCACCAAAGGGTTACCTAATACCCTTGAGGAAACCGGCTCCACTCGCAGATTGTAAAACCTTGCAAATGTGTTGGGTGTCGCCCAGCCCGCAGCTCTACAGATGTCTGTTAGAGAGGCGCCGCGTGCACGCGCCCAAGAGGATGCAACGCTCCGAGTGGAGTGTGCACGTACTCCCGGGGGACACGGCTGACCTCGACTCGAATAAGCGAGTGAAATGGCATCCACAATCCAGTGGGATAATCTTTGTTTCGATACGGCACTTCCCTGCTGCCGACCGCCATAACAGACAAAGAGCTGCTCAGATGATCTAAAATTCTGAGAACGGTCCACATAAATGCGCAGAGCGCGAACTGGACAAAGTAAAGAAAGGGCTGGGTCTGCCTCCTCCGGGGGCAGCGCTTGCAGGTTCACTACCTGATCTCTAAAGGGGGTGGTAGGAACCTTGGGCACATAACCGGGGCGGGGTCTCAGGATAACGTGAGAGTAATCCGGCCCGAATTCCAGGCACGAGTCACTGACCGAAAATGCCTCCAGGTCCCCGACCCTCTTGATGGAGGCCAACGCAACCAGCAGAGCTGTCTTCAGGGACAGAAATCTTAGAGATACTGATTCGAGTGGCTCAAAGGGATCGGATCGCAGACTCGTGAGAACGAGGGCGAGATCCCAAGAGGGCATGAGAGGGGGGCGAGATGGATTAATTCGCCTAGCACCCCTAAGGAACTGGATGACCAGGTTATGCTTTCCCACGGTGCCGCCAGCTACCGCGCTATGATAAGCGGAGATGGCGGCCACGTAAACCTTGAGAGTGGAGGGCGACAGCCTGCTGTCCAACTTCTCTTGAAGGAAAGAGAGCACAACACTAATCTGGCAATTTCGGGGGTCTTCTCTGCGAGAGACGCACCATTCAGTGAATAGACTCCACTTCAGGGCGTAGGCGCGCCTCGTGGAGGGGGCTCTAGCCTGAGTGATGGTATTAACCACCGCAGTCGGTAGGTTACCTAAGTCTTCCTCGCGTCTAGGGACCACACGTGGAGGTTCCAAAGATCGGGGCGAGGGTGCCAGATGGTGCCCTGTCCCTGAGAGAGTAGGTCCTCTCTCAAAGGGATCCGCCAGGGGAGGGCCGTCGCGAGGAGTGAGAGCTCTGATATCCAGGTCCGGTTGGGCCAAAGGGGCGCAACTAGCAGAACCTGTTCCTCGTCCTCCCTGACCTTGCACAGAAACTGCGCGAGCAGGCTCACTGGGGGAAACGCATACTTGCGCATGCCCCGAGGCCAGCTGTGGGCCAGTGCATCCGTGCCGAGAGAGCCCTCGGTCAGGGAAAAAAAACAACTGGCAGTGAGCGTTCTCGGGGGAAGCAAACAGATCGATCTGGGCCTCCCCGAATCGCGCCCATATCAGCTGAACAGACTCGGGGTGGAGTCTCCATTCTCCAGGGCGTAACAGCTGTCGTGAGAGCGCATCGGCTGCACGATTGAGCGTGCCTGGGACGTGAATGGCGCGCAGCGATTTCAGCCGCGGGTGACTCCAGAGGAGCAGACGGCGGGCGAGCTGAGACATGCGGCGAGAGCGCATACCCCCCATGCGGTTGATATACGCCGCCGCCGCCGTACTGTCCGTCCTGACCAGCACGTGTTGCCGCTCCAGCACCGGTAAAAAGCGGTGGAGAGCGAGGAACACTGCCAACAGCTCTAGGCGATTGATATGCCAATGCAGCTGGGCACCCTTCCAGAGGCCCGCAGCCGCATGCCCGCGACACACGGCCCCCCAACCCGTGTTGGAAGCGTCTGTTGAAACAACAACATGGCTGGACGCCTGTCCTAGAGGCACACCGGCCTGTAGGAACGAGGGGTCGTTCCAAGGGCTGAGGGCGCGGCGACACAGCGCAGTAACCGAGACCCGGTGTGTGCCCGCGTGCCATGCGCGTCTGGGGACCCGATCGTGAAGCCAGTGCTGAAGTGGTCTCATATGGAGCAACCCGAGCGGCGTGACGGCGGCTGCGGATGCCATATGCCCCAGGAGCCTCTGAAAGAACTTCAGTGGGACCACTAGTTTGCTGTCGAGCTCCCTCAGACAGTTCAGCAACAGGCGAGCGCGTTCCTCGGAGAGGTGCGCTACCATGGTGATCGAGTCCAGCTCCATCCCGAGAAAAGAAATCCTCTGCACGGGGGCGAGTTTGCTCTTTTCTCGGTTGACCTGAAGCCCCAGTAGGCGGAGATGCCGAAGCACCTTGTCCCTGTGCATAATCAATTGCTCCCGCGAGTGGGCTAAAATCAGCCAGTCGTCGAGATAATTGAGTATGCGAATGCCCGCGAGCCGAAGGGGCGCTAGGGCACCCTCCGCGAGTTTGGTGAAGACCCGCGGAGACAGAGAGAGCCCGAAGGGGAGGACCTTGTACTGCCACGCTCGACCCTCGAACGCAAACCGCAGAAATTGGCGGTGGCGTGGAAGAATGGAGACATGGAAATACGCGTCCTTCAGGTCTATGGCTGCAAACCAATCCCGAGGACGAACGCATTGGAGAATGCGCCTCTGCGTGAGCATTCTGAACGGCAGCTTGTGCAGACAGCGGTTCAAAACGCGCAGATCTAGGATTGGCCGTGACCCACCGCTCTTTTTGGGTACGATGAAGTATGGGCTGTAAAACCCACTCTCCATCTCGGCTGGAGGAACCGGCTCGATTGCACCCTTCGCCAGGAGGGCAGCAATCTCCTCTCGCAAGACAGGGGCGGACAGGGGGTTGACCCTGGAGAAATACACGCCCGTAAACTTGGGGGGCCGTTTCGCGAACTGAATCGCGTAACCGAGTCTGATTGTGCGTATGAGCCACCGCGAGGGGCTGGCCCGCGCTAACCAGGCAGGCAGAGCCCTCGCTAATGGAGTCATCGCTACAATCGCTGACGTACCAGCGGTGGGGCAGCGCGGAGTGGGTGTGCTGATCCGGGAAGCACGAGGGTCCCGCGGAAGAGCTGGAGGAGAGCGATTCGCTCTGGCTCCGCACCCTGACTCCGGAGAGGGGGCTGGAGGGCTGAGGAAAGGGAGACCGTCCCCCCAGCGCTCGTGAGCCACTGGCGAAGCACGTAGAGTCTGCGAGCCGGAAGGCAGCGCGTCCCGGACTGGCAGAACTCGTGCAGTCACATCCGGGGAAGGGAAAAAGTGCTCTTTTACTGATGTTTTGGTGGCACTGAAAAGTACCGTTGTTATCGGGGCCCCGCCCTCCAGCGGGGAAAGAGCAAGTTTCCTCTTCTCCGGATGGCCTGTCTCAGGGACGCTTCGCGGTCCGTTTACCGGACTTAACGGCGCCCTGGGCAGGAGGGGCTGCCTGCTTTCGAGGTGAACGCCGCGCCCGCTTGGCCGGAGGCGCAGGCGGGGGCGGGGCAGCACTCGTTGGCGGGCGCCCTCGGCGAGGAACAGCGGAGGTGGATGGCTCGGCGGGCGGAGCGGGCTTACAGCCACGCCGATAGATGACATTGCCCATCGCATCCGACTGCTCTTTCACCGCCTTGAATTCCTGGGTGAATTCACCGACGGTGTCGCCGAACAGGCCAGCCTGGGATATGGGCGAGTCAAGAAAGCGAACTTTGTCAACGTCGCGCATATCGGCCAGGTTTAGCCAGAGGTGGCGTTCCTGAACCACAAGTGTGGACATCGTCCTCCCCAGCGCACACGCGGCGGACTTAGTAGTCCGAAGAGCATAGTCGGTCGCGGTGCGCAGCTCATGTAATAAGCTTGGGTTGGACCCGCCCTCGTGCAGCTCGGCCAGCGCCTGCGCTTGGTAGCGCTGGTAGGTGGCCATCGCGTGCAAAGCAGAAGCAGCCTGGCCCGCAGCCTTATAAGCTCTGGCTCCGAGGGAGGCAGACAACCTACAGGCTTTGGACGGGAGGCGGGGCAAACCCCGCCACGTAGAGGCGCCGCGCGGACAAAGATTGACCGCGATAGCGCGCTCCACTGACGGGATCGCCTCATACCCCCTGGCAGCTCCGCCGTCAAGGGCGGTGAGGGCGGAGGCACTCGCAGCACGGGCAGAGAAAGGTGCCCTCCAGGACTGCGTGAGCCTACTGTGCACTTCCGGGAAGAAGGGGACGAGAGGCTTCGAAGGCTTCGCCTTCTGGTCCTCTACGTAGCACCCATCTAGTCGGTCCGGCCGCGGAGCTGGGGGATAAACCATCTCCAACCCCACGGCCGAAGCAGCCCGGGAAAGCACGGCTAACATGTCCGCTTCAGGATCCGATTTGACAGCGCTCACCTGCCCGGAGGGGGCGAGCGGGTCCGGATCTTCGTCGGACAGTGAAAGCCCACCCTCCGATGCCGCGGAGGACATCTGATCTCCGGTGTCAGCGAGTGTGAGAGCTACCATCTGGTTAGACGGATCACTCTCACCACCCGAAGCTTGGATGGAGCGCCGTGAGGAGCGAGAGGTCCGCGAGCCCGTGGGCGGCGGATTAGCTCCCGCTGAAACCCTCAGATCTGCCCGAGCGCCCGCTGCTTTTTTAGAGCAGGAGGCAACTGGGGTGGCTCGCTCTCTTGCGAAAGTTAGCCGCGATCTTAGCTGTGCAACGGTCATGGCATCGCAATGACGACATGAACCGCCCGCGAGCACCGCATTAACATGCTGGACCCCCAAACATGCAATGCAGTGATCGTGTCCATCATCCGGTGACAGGAAACCCCCGCATCCAGAAACGCACAGTCGGAGCGCCATCCTGAAAAGGACGTGCTGCACGACTGTGTTGCTCTTTTAGGAAAGTTGCAACTATACGCACCGCTCTGGAGGACCGGACCCAAAGAACCGCAGGCAAGGGAGTAACCCAGCTCGACCGTCTGCCACCGCGAAGACCCACTCTGGACCGGGAGACACACTCGTTCGCTCTGAAGTGCTGATCAGCAAGAGGAACCCTCATCGACTCACTCAGAAAGGATCTGAAGCGAAAAGGATGGCGTCTGCTGGCTTCAGGTGTGCTTATATGCTGAGATAATTGCAGATGTCGCACACCTGCGCAAGCTTACGCTGCCAATTAATTTCATTCATTGGCCCGTTCAATACTCTCCAGATAAGCGGCTTCTGATCCGAATCCTCCCATTCATGGCACTGAAGTTCCCCAACCGAAGGGGAACTAATGTTGCAGTGACTTAGGCTTTTAGGTTTTAGTCAATCTGCTCTAAACTGGTTTGAAAGTTACTTTTCAGAACGCACTCAGTGTGTGACTGTTGAAAATTATTCACGTCAACACTGGGATTCCCCAAGGATCTGTTTTAGCTCCATTGTTATTTTTTATCTACATTAACAATTTAGGCCATGGAATAGATTCAGCTAAAATACACCAGTGTGCAAATGATACAATAATATATACAGCGGCACACTTCTTAAACCAAGCTGTACAGTATTTACAGAACGCTTTTCAAGTACTACAGTGTACATTGCAGGATTTAAAATTGGTTTTAAATAAATAAAAAAAGACTAAATATATGATTTTTGTGATTTCAGGACCTTGAGGAAACAAACATAGATGAGATGAGGAAAGTGTTGAGAAGATTCAAGATGCTGCTTAGTCCAGATTACTCTGTGAGAGATGAGGAGGAGGAGGAAGGTCAACGTCAAATAAACGAGGCATTTCTGAAGATCACTCTTCATGCCCTCCAGAAGATGAACCAGACGGACCTCGCTAGCAAACTACAAACCAGTACGAGACAATACTCTCTAGTGTCCTAGCTGGTAGATGTTAGTATTTATATGTGGAACCCTCAAATAAAAGACTTTAGCCCTAGCACTTTATAACCCTGATCGGACTTATGCTAGATTCACATGGGGAGTCAGTATGAGCACTGGCACAATCGTTATGGCAAAAGGCAATTATATTGAACTGCATTTTTAATACATGAAAATACTCTTTTCTGATGCATTTGGCGATTTTGTGGTCAGCCTGGTCACCACTGTTGTGTCTGCTGGTGATTTGCTGGTTGTACTGTGGTGCTGCTGTTTTCAATGCTCAGGTCTCTGCTCCACTTTAGTTTAGAACTTAGAGTCCCAGTTCTAAAGTTTATTTGTAAGCTTTATGCATGCTAGCTGGCACTTTCAGGCCCCGTTTACACTAGAGCGTTTTAGTTTTAAAACGGCGTTTTAGCTGCAGCCCATCTACCCAGATGAGAGCTCTGCTAGTCGGACTTCTCATCAAGCATCTCCAACTGGATCTAATCTCACTATATTTATTAAACGGGATATTTCATTCATCTTGTTGTCTTTATCTAACGACATGTTCCCTGACTTTAGTCATTGGAATCGATTACTTGTTCTCAGGTAACGTGTTTTGGCTGAGCGCAAAGATAAGTTAATGATTAATGTAACCACGTACATTCTGTATATTGACTGATCGCTTGCCTTTATTTCCTATAATGCATAAACTTATTGTATGTTATACTTTTATAATGGCCATTATCGATTATTAAAACTGATATTTAGCAGAAGAGAAGATGTGTTTCGTATTTTCACTGAAATTGAAAGGAGGCCGTTGTTATCGGCTCCGTTTTGTTATAAATATCCACACAGTGAAGATGACGCTCATATATGCAGCACGACGCTTCAACATTTCTGCTGTCTGTTGCTAATATTAAAATGAAAATAGGCAGTTCCTTAAATCATGTTTACATTTTATTGTTGAGAAAGTGAAACAACGTAGCCAGGGTGATGTGAATGAAGTTATAAAGTACACTGTTCCCTTTGAAGATTTACCCGTGTCCTCGGTATAGTCTGTTTTCCATATCAAACTGAGAAGAAGAGACTGCAGCCTTGATCAAACTTGCGAAGTCTGAACTTACAAGGAGAGGATGCAGGACTGAACTGTGTGTAGGCTACTTAATATTGAGGAAAAGCCCCAATCAGAGAGGCGAATCTCAGCAGCCCCGCCTCCGTTTTCAGATGTCTCCGTTTTCCATCATCCACACTGAGACGGAGCAGCAGCGTTTCAGAATGAAAACGGCCTCTCTAGCGTTTTCGAAACGCTCCGTTTTCGGCGCTCGAGAACTCCGGCGTAGTGTGGACGGATGGCGTAACCATAGCAAAACTTATGCGTTTTCAAACTAAAACACATTAGTGTAAACGGGGCCTCAGTATGGCATGTAAAATGGTATTAAAATTCACCCTGGTAACATTTAACGCTGAAAAAAGCATACAAGTTCAGGTTGGTTGGACAGTTAAACAATTGTGTTGCATCACTTAAATTGTTATTTGTGGTGTAAATTGCAGAGTTAATCTCCGTGAGTCAACAACAGCTCAAATCCAGACTGAAGCAGAGATTTGAGAGATTTACTGAAGGAGTCTCAAATCGAGGCAATACAAAACTTCTGAATGACATCTACACAGAGGTTTACATCACTGAGGGAGGGGCTGGAAACATTGACGATGAGCACGAGGTGAGACAGATCGAGACCTCGTCGTCCAGATTTCCAGAGATACCGATTAGATGTTGCGACATCTTCAAATCCTTACTGGGACAGGACAAAGCCATCAGAACGGTTCTGACCAAAGGAGTAGCTGGAATCGGAAAAACCGCTTCTGTGCAGAAGTTCATCCTAGACTGGGCAGAAGGAAAAGCCAATCAGGATGTTCACTTCATATTTCCGCTTCCTTTCAGAGACTTGAATTTGATAAAGGAGAAACGGATGAGTCTGATGGAGCTCCTTTGCTGTTTTTGCCCAGAACTAAAACCGATAGACTATAACAACTTCAAAACAGTCTTCATCTATGATGGTCTGGATGAGTGGCGCCTTCCTCTGGATTTCCGGAACAATGAGATTTTGTGGGATATGAACAAAGTGGCCTCTGTGGATGCACTGCTTACCAACCTCCTCCAGGGGAACCTGCTTCCTTCTGCTGTCCACTGGATCACCACACGACCAGCCGCAGCCTGTCAGATCCCAGCTGAGTTTATTGATCGGGTCACCGAGGTACGAGGGTTCAAAGATCTTCAGAGAGCAGAGTATTTCTGGAAAAGAATAAAAGATCAGAATCTTGCCAACAAGATCATCACACACATTCAATCATCAAGAAGCCTTCACATCATGTGCCGCATCCCAGTGTTCTGCTGGATCTCCGCCACTGTTCTTGAGAAGATCTTTGGTGAAGCGAATAGTGCAGACATTCCCAAAACTCTCACTCAAATGTTCATACACCTGCTGATCGTTCAGACCAATCTGAAGACCCAGAAATATGACCGAGAATGTGATGTAAATCTTGAGAAGGCAAGAAAGAGCATCTTGTCACTTGCGAAACTGGCATTTGAGCAACTGGAGAAAGGGAACCTGATCTTCTATGAAGAGGATTTGAAACAGTGTGGCATTGATGTCCGAGAAGCGTCCGTGTGCTCTGGAGTGTGTACCCAGATCTTTCGGGAAGAGTTTGGGCTGCAGCTTCAAAAGGTGTTTAGCTTTGTACATCTGAGTGTTCAGGAGTTTCTCGCTGCCTTGTTTAAGTTTCTTTCCTTTGCTGAAGAAAACAACAAGTCCTCAATGACACAGTTTATGAAGAACGAAGTGGACAGGGCCTTGCAGAGTCCGAACGGACACCTTGATCTCTTCTTACGTTTTCTTCTGGGTCTTTCACTGGACTCCAATCAGACTCTCCTACAGGGATTATTCACTCCGTTGGATACCTCTCACAGCAGAGACGAGACTATTGAGTATATAAAAAGTAAAATCAGAGAAAATCCGTCTCCGGAGAGATCCATCAATCTGTTTTACTGCCTAAATGAGCTGAATGATCATTCTCTGGTGCAGGAGGTCCAAACATATCTAACCAGCACACGCAGCCATCGCCTCTCTGGAGTGAAACTGTCTCCGGCCCTGTGGTCAGCACTGGTGTTTGTGTTGCTGAACTCGACAAAGGACCTGGACGAGTTTGAGCTCAGGCAATACGATTTTACAGAGGAGTGTCTTCTGAGGCTGCTACCGGTGGTCAAAGCTTCCAGAAAAGCAGAGTGAGTATATTCAAGAAGCTCATTTTAACATTCAGGGACAGTTGTTACGTGTTTGATGTTTATAGTGTTAGTTCAGCCAAAAAAGTAAATGATTATAATAATTACACTCCCTCATGTTGTTAAAAACCCCTGAGATCTTCAATCATATTCAGAACTCAAATGAAGATATTTTAGATAAAGTCTGAGCTCCTTCTTTCTCCATCATGACCCAGGTAAACTAACCCTTTAAAAGAAATGATGTTGTAACATTTAAGTAATAAAATGATACAGGCCGTTGTCTCAGGCAGATCAATACTGCCAGATCAATACCCAAACAAAATGAGGGTAAGTTTCAGCAGTAGAATAGTAAACAAAAAAAATTATAGAAAATATACAAGTTATCAACAATAAGAGAAATTTTTTACACAAATGAAAATAGGAGTGCACACCAAATCGAATAGATTAACAAAACAATCCTTGAATTAAAATTTCCAAACTAACAACAAAATAAGAAAAAATAAGCCCAAAATTTTCAGCATTTCCAGAAAAAAAAAGAACAATTAGCTTTTCTCCAATCGTAACGGCTGGCGTTCACTCCAAAGAGTTCAGTTTGAGTCTCATCAGAGCAGAGAGTTTAGTTTCTGATGCTCTGAGTCCTCCTTTGGCAAACTCCAGGCGGGGAGTGTCTTCCGTCTGGCCGCTCTACCATACAGATGCCTGATTGGTGGATTGCTGCACAGATGGTTGTCCTTCTGTAAGGTTCTCCTCTCTCCACAGAAGAACATTGGAGCTCAGACAGAGTGACCATCGGGTTATTGATCACCTCCCTGACTAAGTCCCTTCTCCCCGATCACTCAGCTTAGATGGCCGGCCAGCTCTAGGAAGAGTCCTGCTGGTTAAACATCTTCCACTTAAGGATGATGGAGGCCGCTGTGCTCAGTGGAGCTTTCAGAGCAGCAGAAATGTTTCTGTAAGCTTCCCCAGCCTTGTGCCTCCAGACAACCCTGTCTCTGAGGTCTACAGACGATTCCTTTGTCTTCATGCTTGGTTTGAGCTTTGACATGCACTGTCGACCCTGGACCCTTATATAGACAGGTTTATGTCTTTAAAGATCATGTCCAATCAGCTGAATTGAGCACAGGTGAACTCCAGTAAAGCTGCTGAAACATCTCCAGAATGATCAGTGGAAACAGAATGAACCTGAGCTCCATTTAGAGCTTCATGCCAAAGCCTGTGAATACTGATGTACATGTGATTTATCAGCTGTTTTATTCTTAATAAATTTGCTACAATTTCTAAAACTTTTTTTCACTTTGTCATTATGGGGGATTGTGTGTGGAATGTTGAGGAAATTTATTAATTTAATCCATTTTGGAATACGACTGTAACATAAAGAAATGTGGAAAAAGTGAAGCGCTATCAATACTTTCCGCGTGCACTGTATGTGCCAAACTAATAAAATGACCCCAGATCTAAACAGATTACCATTGTTTTCTGTGTATATCTGAATACTATTGGAGATTAATGCAGATTTGTTGTTTCTCTGTCAGTTTGAAAGGTGGTAATCTCACAGATCAGATCTGTTCAGCTCTGGCCTCTGCTCTCAGCTCGAGCTCCTGCTGTCTGCGAGAACTGGACCTCAGTGAAAACAGGCTCCAGCTTTCAGGAATACGACTTTTCTCTGCAGGACTGAAGAGCCCTAACTGTAAGCTGGAGATACTCAAGTAAGTACTTTTCCAATTTAACATTTTATGATGTGTTCCGATGTTTTATATGTGCTTAGTGTAAATAGTTTGAAACTGAATGCAAGTGTTTCTGCAGGTTGAGCAACTGCAGTATTAGAGAGGAAGGCTGTGCTTCTCTGGTTTCTGCTCTTCTCTCAAACCCGTCTCATCTGAGAGAACTCAACCTGAACTCCAATCAACCAGGATATTCAACAGTGAAGCTTTTGTCTGATCTTCTGGAGAATCCACACTGTAAACTGGAGAAACTACAGTGAGTGATGTTGTATTGTATTACACGGCTCGGTATTATTCTCTCTGGAATATTGGATTCTGTTTGCTCATTCACAACATTGCAAGGTCTGTCATTCTCAGACTCAGCTGCAAATCATCTTGACCATGTGTTGCCAAACTTGTTCTTGGAGGGCCTGTCTCCTGCAGAGTTTATCTCCAACTCAAATAAAACACACCTGGGCAAGCTAATCAAGGTTTTAATAGGTATACTTGAAACTTCCACGCAGGAATGTTGAGGCAAGTTGGAACTAAACCCTGCAGAACACTGGCGCTCCAGGACAGATTTTGTTGACCATGGATCTTGACTATTAGTGAATATATTCTTATATATATATATATCAGAGGTGGTGTAACCACGGGGAGTAACACTGACAACAGAAGGTAGGATCCAATATGCAGGTTTATTCACAGTCAGGCAAGCAGTGGTCAATACGGGAGCAAACAGGTATGTGAGGACAATCCAGAATCGTAGTCAGTTTAACAATCAAGAGGTCGAAAGGCAGGCGGCAGACAAGGATAACTAAATAAACAAGGCTAGGTTCAAAACACAGAGAAACAAGACCAGGATAACGCGTTGTAATGCTACTTTACAGTGAACAAGACTCGGCAACATGTGTGTGGAACAAAGGGGTATAAATAGTCCAAACAATCATTGTGTGAGTGGCTTCAGCTGTGAGAGTGCAATCAGTGTTGATCTAGAACCGGTTGTGTGTGTGTGTGGCATGACTGGGTGTTGTAGTCAATAACATGGCAGATATGTAGTTCAATGAGTGTGAATGTTTGTGTGTGAATGTTTACCAGCGACATCTGGTGGTTGTTCGCTGGTGAACATGACAGGTGGAAAGTAACGAATTACATTTTCTCATGTTACTGTACTTAAGTAGTTTTTTTGAGAATTTGTACTTTTTAGAGTAATTTTTAAAATCTGTTATTTTACTTTTACTTAAGTATGATTTGCCTAAAGTATTGTATTTCGCTACATTTTAAATCATATCTGTTACTGAGTAAAAAATCAATATATAAAATATTGCAAAGGAAAAATAAGAAAAGATGCGCCCGGAAACTACGTTACTGCAGCGGCAGAGTGAGAAAAGCATGCAGTGAACTTGTCTATTTACTGTTGCTGGAGTTGAATGGATATCGCCTGACTTTAGAAAGTTTTCAGCTAAATGCCTGTCAGCCCCAGCAATGACAAGGTAAGCTATGAATACGCTTGCATATTACCTATTTTTGTGGTGCTTATTTTGTAATGTGCATTGTATATGGTTGCCATGACAGCTTTAAGGGATAGCTCACTCTAAACTGACAACTCTGTCACATACTAGCCCCTTGCTTGTAACAAGCTTGTTTGATTCTGTTTCTTATGTTAAACACAAAAGATGATATTTTTTTAAGAATGCTGGGTAGTTGTATCCATTGATTTCCATAGTAATTTTTCCTGCTGATCATATAAGCTTGTCCTGCTATTTATATAAGTTACATAAATATATTCGGAAAGATTTTTATCCCCGAAACAACACGGCCGAAAAAGTATTTTGTGATAATGCAACTGCGGAAACACTTCGCTGCACTTGATCCACGATAAATCACTACTTCGCGCAAATAAAAATGCATGTACATGATATTGATCCAGACCGTGATGGATGCGGGAAGACTTTCCCATCGCACACGCAATACAGCTGAAGCAGCGCGTGGGCCACTCATAGGTAGAGCAGAAGCAGCGCACAGGTGTTTTACACAGACTGCATCAGCAACACGAACCTCATCGGTGTTTTTTGCACAAATAAATCTATCTCTGTCTATTTTAGTTACCTGTCTATCTTTATATATAAATACACTATGTTTACTTTTTATCTGCACCAAGGCCCGCAGCAACTTTACCCCGTGCTGTTTCCTTAACCTGCAACTCTTTATTTTACATATTATATCATAAAGAACTGTATGCTTCTCAAGCTCGATCAGGAGTGTCATTCATGTCTTCTCTGGTGCACTCAGAGAGGACAATCACCTGTGATAACATGTCGTTTTGTTTTTGATTGTCAGCATGATTCAGGACTATTTATAATAAGATTTGTACAATACAATTATAATGATATTTATACATGATCAAACGAGTGTGCAGTTTAGCAAAGCTGATTAAAAAAACTGTTTTAAAATGTGTTATGTAGTTCAGGCCCAAACAAATATTTGTTGCATTTTTAATAGTTTAAGTTAATTTGATTGACTATATCAAAATCTGTGGATATTATCGATGCATTTATTGGGTAAAATAAAGTTGCTACCTTTTACTGTAATAAGCTTGGTACACAGTTGTAGTCATACATGCAAAGCTATATATTTAATATTGAAAAGAAAAGACTTTGAATAAACACATCTCTGTGTGAAGCCTCAGCTGGGCCAGTTGGCATTTCTGTGTGGACATGCGGTACAGGTGAATTGGGTAAGCTAAAATTGTTCGTAGTGCATGTGCGTAAATGAGTGTGTATGGGTGTTTCCCAAGGAGGGGTGTTCAAACTCTGTCCTGGAGGGCCGGTGTCCTGGAGAGTTTAGCTCCAACCCTAATCAAACACGCCTGTACCAGCTATAATCAAACTCTTACTACTGGAAATTTCCTGGCACGAGGACCGAGTTTGGACACCATTGGGTTAAAGTAACCTAAAAGTAATACAAAAGTAGTGTAACACATTTCTGAGACATTAATATTGTAATGTAACTAATTCCAAAAACAATCAGTATCACAGTGTGAAAGGGGCTATTAACGGGGACTTGGAACAAAATTGTCTATGCACAATTTAGCAAACACAGCACATGTTGCATTAGAATTTTCTCATTTGTTTAAATTGTTAAATAGAATTATCTGTAAAATATTTTAATTTTTAAAGTTGTTTATTCAAAGAGAAGAAACAATATCTGGGTTATAATGTATATTTTACAATAAAAACTAAATGTAGCATGTCTCGCTGTCATTTGAAACATGCAATTCATAACACACGAGAGGGCCTATAATGTATGCAGTGTGTAAACTTACAGGGAGTGTTGGTCAATAGTCTTACTGCGCACCACTTTATTGAACTCCAATATCTCTGAGGGAGATTATGTTACCAGATAGCCAATATTAACTTAAAAGATTTTAAAAATAAAAGGCATTTTAAAAAAGCAACATCACACAAATCGCCAACAAATAAAACTGGCACCTGTCTTGCCAGTGTATGCTGTGTAGTGCAGAGGTTCTCAAAGTGGGGGTCGGGACCCCCCGAGGGGTCGCGGGACAATGAAGGGGGGTCGCCTGGTGATTTTCAAAAATCAATAAATTTTTATTAAACCTTAAGATTTACTGTATTTTATCAATAATCTACTGAAGAGAAAAAAATAGTCGTTTATAGTTACTATAAACTATATAGTTACTATAGTAGCTTATAGTTACTAGTTCTATTGGATTGTGACTTCTCGGGTAATTACATTATACTAAAGACACAGCAATACTGTCAGATGCAGCAGATTTTGTAACACCAGGTTAAACTTTCTAGCCCATTTACAGCACTGACATACATAAAAAAACTAAGAATAGACTTGGGCCTATTGGTGTGTTTGTGCGTGTCATTGCATACAAGGTTTCTGTATTCATAACCACCACCTCAGAGAATATTGGGGGTCACAAGTCACTGGCATTGTCATTTTGGGGGTCACGGGCTGCAAAGTTTGGGAACCCCTGGTGTAGTGTGTATAGCGCCCTGTCAACTGCCGCTGATGAGAGAAAGAAAGAGCGCGCGTAAGAGCTCAAAGCTGGCATATAACCAAAAGCAAGATCATATTGTTATAAATATTCCGTTAACAATACTTATCGAAATATTTATACATTTACATGAAATGTTTATTGAGATTGTGTGATCTGTATAGACTGTCTGATCTTTACAAAAGCTGTAAACTGCACGAGTGCGGTGACAACACATGTTTATCTCTGACAAGAAGCTTTTATTTAGCCTGTAGTCTTTAGGTTTTTTTTTTACATAATGTTCCAGTACTTAAAATGTCTTTTATTTTATATTTATAGTTTATAAATAAAATGAGCGCTAGCTTGTTTAGCTGTGATCATTATGCAAGAATCATATGTCATATTCGGTTTATTATTCAGTAGATGAATGCGTTTTATTAACGACTAAGCTATTAATATATAATACATTAGGCTAATTATTACATTAAGACATCGAGGTCAGGTAGGACAAAAAAATCACATCTGTATAGTGAATTACTCTTGAGTGGTATCGGTGCATGGTATCGGCCTTTCATGTCCGATACAAGTACGCGTATTTTAACCAAGTATCGACCCGATACCCCATACTGGTATCGATGCATCCTTACTTTTGAGAAATAGTTACTCTTTACTCTTTACTCATGAGTACATTTTTAATGAGTTAATTTTTACTTTTACTTGAGTAGATTTATAGACATGTAACTTTTACTTAAGTAAATTTTTTGGAAGTAACAGTACTTTTACTTTAGTAGAAGATTTTTGTTACTCTTTCCACCTCTGATATATATATATATATATATATATATATATATATATATATATATATATATATATATATATATATATATATATGTTCTTGAATGTGTGTTGAGCTGTAAATGTACAGTAAGCTGTGTTTCCCCCTCTGTAGGTTGTATAACTGCTGTATTGGTGAGGAAGGCTGTGCTGCTCTGGCTTTAGCTCTGATATCAAACCCGTCTCATCTGAGAGAACTCAATCTGAACAATAATGAACCAGGCGATTCAGGAGTGAAGCTTCTCTCTGATCTGCTGAAGGATCCGCGCTGTAAACTGGAGAAACTACAGTGAGTGACATCATCTAAATAAGAAAACAAATGTGTGTTTCTTACATTTATTAGTGTTTATTCACATTCAAATGAATATAAATGATTAGCTATGAAGCATATGAATTGAAATTAGGGATGTCGTGGTTTGATACTTGTATATTACTTTTAGAATATACGTTTAGTGCACATTTTGAGTTCATTAAGGTTTATTCAAATAAATGCATTATAAAGAATTGGACAGAGTAAAATTATTACATTATATGAGAATGATGTATGTTTATGTATATTTTTATCACAGTAAAATTGAATCCATTATTAATGTAAAATAATGCAAAATGCTATAATGTGATATGGAACATTTGATTCTGAGTTGATGGTAACAGATTTGTAATTTTTCATCATGTTGTGCCTTAGCTGCAGAAGCTAACCTCAAAGCAGACTCCACACGAGTGTCTAAAACACACTTTTTGTGTATTTTTATCATATTATTGTGTTTTAAACAGTGAATTTACTGAAATATGACAGTAAGAGAGTAAACACATAATTAATGGTAGATGCAGTGATTCTGTTGAGAATCTTATTCACACTGAATATTGAAAAGAAATGTTAAAGTCAGGCATCAAAGAGCCGTAAGCGTCAGGTGTTTTCTTTCTTTCTGCAGGCTTAATGGTAGCAATATCAGAGAGAAAGATTGTGCTGCTTTCATTTCATCTCTTCTATCAAACCCGTTTCATCTGAGGGAACTCAGTTTGAGCTGGAACAAACCTGGCGACTCTGGAGTCAAGCTTTTGTCAGATCTTCTGAAAGATTCTCGCTGTAAACTGGAAAAACTGGAGTGAGTGACATTTTTCCACAGGTTTTACAGGTCACCACAATAAAATTAGTCAAATGGCCTGTCCAAACTTGCCCAAAATGAACCTAAAACTAGCTCAATAGCCAATTGAAATAACCCAATGGCCAATCAAAATTCAACTAGTGGCCAATCAAAATAGGTCAAATAATTGCCCATTGGCCGTTTAAAACTCATCTAGTGGCCAATCACAATAGCCAGAAAAATTGCCCAATGGCCAATCACAATAGCCTAAAAAATTGCCCAATGGCCCATCAAAACTCATCTAGTGGCTAATGAAAACTAGCGTAATGGCCAATCAAAAATAGTCGAAAAGTATCCCAATGGCCAATTAAAAATAGCCTAAAAAATTGCCCAATGCCCAATCAAAACACACCCAGCGGGCAATCAAATCTAGCTTAATGGCTAATCAAAAAAAGGCAAAACTAGCCCAATGGCCTAACATACCTAGCCTAGTGGCCAATGAAAACTAACCCAATGTCCAATCAAAAATAACCAAAAGTAGCTTATTGGCCAATCAAAAATGGCCAAAACTAGCCCAATGGCCAATCAAAAATAGCCAAAACTAGCCCAATGGCCAATCAAAAATAATAAAAACTAGCCCAATGGCCAATCCAAAATGCCAAAACTAGCCCAATGGCTAATCAAAAATAGCCAAAACTAGCCCATTGGCCAATCCAAAAATGGCCAAAACTAGCTCAATGGGCTACCAAAAATAGCAAAACTAGCCCATTGGCCAATCAAAAATAGCCAAAAAGTAGCCCTATAGCCAATCAAACAAGCCCAGTAATCAAAATATGCCCCTCCTAAACTCGCTGTGAATTTTTTTTTTAATCTGAGGCGTATGTGTTGTGTGTTGTGGATAGTTGTTGTGTAGTTTTGGAAAGCTTTTCAAACTGGATTTGTTAGCTGGGATTTATTTTTGCTCATTCTAATATAAATGTTGGTTACTCTTATTTACCATTTCATTACATTAATCATCTTTCAACTTCATAATTTGTACAGTTTTTAAAGTCTTTTTTCCACTCAGGCTGGAGTGCTGCAGTATTATAGAGGAAGGCTGTGCTGCTCTGGCTTTAGCACTTGTATCAAACCCATCTCACCTGAGAGAACTCAATCTAAACAATAATGAACCAGGAGACCTAGGAGTGAACCTTTTGTCTTTTCTTCTGAAAAATCCACAATGTAAACTAGAGAAACTGGAGTGAGTGTACTCCACTTTATATTTCATTCATCATTCTAATGTTTATAGTTTGCTGTTGTTGAGCAGTAAATGTTTTCTTTAGGCTGGAATACTGCTGCATAGGTGCAAAAAGTTGTGCTTCTCTGGCTTCTGCTTTTGTATCCAACCCGTCTCATCTGAGAGAACTCAATCTGAACTGGAACACACCAGAATATCCTGCAGTGAAGCTTCTGTCTGATTATCTGAAGGATCCACACTGTAAACTGGAGAAACTACAGTGAGTGATATTATTTATTTGTAAACTTCATGATAGATTTAAAGGTGCACTAAGCTTTTGTTGAAAAGCTATAAGTCTGGCGATTTCATTGTTCAATAAACTGATTTTGCATCGGTTCAAAGATTTTTAAAATCCATCAAGTCTAGAGCACCATCTGCTGTTAAAAAGGACCCTAGAGCACGGCTTAGAGCGCCATCTGCTGTTAAAAGAAGCCTAGAGCAAGGCCTAGAGCGCCATCTGCTGTTAAAAGAAGCCTAGAGCAAGGCCTAGAGCGCCATCTGCTGTTAAAACGGAGCCTAGAGCATGTCTTATAGCCCCATCTGCTGTTAAAAAGGAGCCTAGAGCATGGCCTAGAGCGCCAACTGCTGTTAAAAAGGAGCCTAGAGCACGGCTTAGAGCGCCATCTGCTGTTAAAAAGGAGCCTAGTGCACAGCCTAGAGCGCCATCTGCTGTTAAAAAGGAGCCTAGTGCACAGCCTAGAGCGCCATCTACTGATAAAAAGGAGCCTAGAGCATGGCATAGAAAGCCATCTGCTGTTAAAAAGGAGGCTAAAGCACAGCCTAGAGCTCCATCTGCTGTTTAAAATAGCCTAAAGCACAGCCTAGAGCGCCATCTGCTGTTTAAAATAGCCTAAAGCACAGCCTAGAGCGCCATCTGCTGTTTAAAATAGCCTTGAGCACAGCCTAGAGCGCCATCTACTGATAAAAAGGAGCCTAGAGCATGGCATAGAGAGCCATCTGCTGTTAAAAAGGAGCCTAGAGCACAGCCTAGAGCGCCATCTGCTGTTAAAAAGGAGCCTAGATCACAGCCTAGAGCGCCAACTGCTGTTAAAAAAGAGTCTAGAGGACGGCCTAGAGCGCCATCTGCTGCTGTTAAAAAGGACCCTAGAGCACAGCCTAGAGCGCCATCTGCTGTTAAAAGGAGCCTAGAGCACGACCTAGAGCGCCAACTGCTGTTAAAAAGAAGCCTAGTGCACGGCCTAAAACGGCATCTGCTGTTGTTAAAAAGGACCCTGGAGCACAGCCTAGATCGCCAACTTCTGTTAAAAAGGAGCCTAGAGCACTGCCTAAAGCGCCATCTGCTGTTGTTAAAAAGGACCCTAGAGTGCCATCTGCTGTTAAAAAGGAGCCTAGTGCACAGCCTAGAGCGCCATCTGCTGTTAAAAAGAAGCCTAGTGCACAGTCTAGAGCGCCATCTGCTGTTAAAAAGAAGCCTAGAGCACGGCCTATAGCACTATCTGCTGTTAAAAATCAGTTATAAACAAGCCTAGACCAGTGCTTTCAAATATCAACATAGTTTGGCAAATATTCGCTCAGTTCACCTTTAAATCCAAGCGCTGTCTTATACACGACAATCCCTTTGAATGAATGTGTGTTGAGCTGTAAATGTACAGTAAGCTGTGTTTCCCCCTCTGTAGGTTGTATAACTGCTGTATTGGTGAGGAAGGCTGTGCTGCACTGGCTTTAGCTCTGATATCAAACCCGTCTCATCTGAGAGAACTCAATCTGAACAATAATGAACCAGGCGATTCAGGAGTGAAGCTTCTCTCTGATCTGCTGAAGGATCCGCGCTGTAAACTGGAGAAACTACAGTGAGTGACATCATCTAAATAAGAAAACAAATGTGTGTTTCTTACATTTATTAGTGTTTATTCACATTCAAATGAATATAAATGATTAGCTATGAAGCATATGAATTGAAATAAGGGATGTCGTGATTTGATGCTTGTATATTTCATGCTGTAAACTGGAGAAACTACAGTGAGTGATGTTATGTTGCTGTATTTTTGGAAAATATTAGTGTACAATCAAAAATATGTTTTTTTTTAAATATAGAGACTCAACAAAAAAAGTGTATTTAAGTAGTTTTGTGTGTGTTTTTTTATGAAATGTTAATTAATATATTAATATTGTTAATCTTAATTTTTAATAAATTAAAGATGGAATTAGGACGATTGTAAGGGACCTTTAGGGCCCACAAGGACACTATTTGTTAAAAAATATTGTTATGGTACAGAAGTGTTTTTCTCTTTGTATCCGCAGGCTGGAATACTGCTGTATCGGTGAGGAAGGTTGTGCTGCTCTGGTTTCAGGTCTGAAATCGAACCCGTCACACCTGAGGGAACTCAATCTGAACAGAAACGAACCTGGAAACTTAGGTGCAAAGATGCTGTCAGATCTCCTGAAGGATCCGCTGTTTGAACTTGAGAAACTAGAGTGAGTCACAGGTTCATCATACTGTATATAAGGCTGCAAAATATACATTGCATCAGGATGAGGATTTACAGTTAAAGTCAAAATTATTTGTCCTTCTGTTAAATATATAATCTTCTTCAAATATTCCCTGATTCAGAAATTGTTCACAGTATTTCCTCTAATATTTGTTCTTCTGGAGAAAGTCTTATTTGTTATATTTTGGCTAGAATAAAAGCAGTTTTTAATGGTTTTAAATCCATTTTAAGGTCAATATTATTGGCCCCTTCAGCAATATTAGTGTTGGATTGTCTCCAGAACAAACCACTGTTATACAATGACTTGCCTAATTACCCTAACTTTACCCTAATTACCCTAGTGAAGCCTTTAAATGTCACTTTAAGCTGTATAGAAGTGTCTTGAAGAATATCTAGTCTAATATTATTTACTGTCATCATGACGAAGAGAAAATAAACCAGTTATTAGAGATGAGTTATTAACACTGTTATGATTAGAAATGTGCTGAAAGAAATGTTGCCGTCCCTTGCAGAGCAAAATCAATATCTCCTCTAAAAATACAAAGAACAAAAAACATGTCGGTTCATCAATGACATTTTAATCAATTATAACTTGCTTTTGCTAATGTGTTGAGATGTTTTCCTCTTTCTCTGCGCAGGCTCGATGACTGCAGTATTGAAAACAATGGTTTTGCTGATCTAGTTTCAGGCCTGAAATCAAACCCATCAAACATCAGAGAGCTCAATCTGAACTCTAATAAATTCATCTTCTCTGGATTAAATCTACTCTGTGACCTGCTGAGAGATCAGCAGTGTAAACTGCGGAAGCTACAGTGAGTGATGTTTTTCATTTATGTCAAATTTGTATGTAATAGGGTTACACATGGCTTAGTGGCTAGCACTGTGGCCTCATAACAAGAAGGTCACTGGTTTAGGGACCGGCTGGCTCATTTGGCATTTCTGTGTGGAGTTTGCATGTTCTCCCTGTGTTGGCGTGGGTTTCACTTTGTATGCTCTGGTTTTCCCCACAGTCCAAACACATGCGCTATAGGGGAATTGATGAACTAAATTGTAGTGTGTGTATGTGTGTGTGTGTGAGAATGAGTGTGTATGGGTGTTTCCCAGTAAAGAGTTGCTGCTGGAAGATCATCCGCTGTGTAAAACATATAATATAATATAATTTAATATAATATATATATAATATAATATAATATACTACAATATAATATAATATGCTAAAATTAAATTTAATATGATATATAATTTAATATAATTTAATATAATATACTATGATATAATATACTATAATATAATATAGTATAATATCATATAATATATTATTTAATTTAATTTAATATAATATAATATGTTTTAATATAATATAATTTAATTTAATTTAATATAATTTAATATATTATAATATCATAATCTAATATAATATAGTATAATATAATATAATTTAATATAATATAATATTTTTTAATATAATATAATATAATTTAGAATACTATAATATAATATAATATAATATAATATAATATGTAGTATAATATAATTTAATCTAATATAATATAATTTTATATAATTTAATTTAATATAATATAATATAATAGAATTTAATATAATATGATATAATATAATATAATATTATATTATATTATATTATATTATATTATATTATATTATATTATATTATATGTTTTAATATAATATAATATAATTTATAATAGTATAATATAACAGGGCTCGAAATTAACTTTTTTACTTGGTAGCACCGGTGCTCCCAACTTCAAATATTTAGGAGCACCAAAAATTTTTTAGGAGCACCAGAAAAAATTTAGGAGCACCCACCAAAAATGAATGAGCACAGCTGCAAATTGTTTTTTAAGGGATTTATTGTATTTTAAAACAACATTAATAGGACTAACAAAAACCAGAAACAACTATCTAACTAATGCTGCGAAGACATTGATATTTGTGTGCAATAATTCCAAAATGAATGTCAAATAATTATAGAATATTAATGATGATGAAAATGACAATAATAGTAATGAATTCCATTTCTCATTGTGATGCTGCCTTAAATGTGCATGAATGTAGGTTATCTGCTATAAAAAGTCTGTTACTTTATGAAAAATAATTGTATAGTTTGCATCAAACCAAAATGAAGCATTGCAGTAAGAAATATTTATTTTGTACTGCTGTTTTTATATGCATGTCAATTTAATAAATAATATTTCTGCTACAAAACAAACAAAAGATTATAATAAATCATTCAATTCAATGATGAAAGCTGCAAAGCAGTCATCAGTAAATAAATAAAAAAATAATATACACCTTAAAAAAGAATAGACAAAAGAAAGTAAGTAAAGTCTCACTTCTATCACTCTTTAAAAGTTTTGGTTTCAGTTTGTGTCAATTTAAAGGTTCAGTCTGAGCTGATCTTCATTTTTCTGTGTTTGTGGAAAAGCTGGCGAGTCAGCCGACGCAATTTATAAGTAGGCAGCGCAAGATTATTGTGCTAACCATCGGCGCAAATCCGGTCTTTGTTTTGAGCCGCAGTTTCAGTGTAAACTTAGTAAAGGCGAGCTTCTTCTGACTTTTAGCGGACGTTTGCGCTGAACACGCAGTGAATGCAACGCATGGAGATTTGGGCACCTTCTCCAAGAAGCGCGTACTCGATTGATCACAGCTGGCGGATCATTATTCACCACGTGACGTGTCATGATCGCTTTCATCTGCGCCTTAACTTTAGGTGGGGTTTTCAAACTTGTGTGCTTTAAGTTTTTACTCTTCAGCCGTTTGTATTTCCCGTGGTCATAAAAGCTCCTTCCCTGTCATCTGACAGCGGAATACTTTGAGTGATTGACAGCTAATATGAACCAATATAGCGGCAGGGAAGAGCGATTCAGCACGTTTTTACAAAAAATCAAAACAGGCGCACTACAACCATTATCTGCAGTCGCACTAATGCTCCCAGATATATTATGAGGTCGCATAGATTAATTTTCGGGCGCATATGCGACCAAAATGGTCGCAATTTCGAGCCCTGTATAATATAATATAATATAATATATATAATATGTTATAATATAATATAATTTATAATACTATAATATAACATAATATAATATAATATAATATAATATAATATAATATAATATAATATAATATAATATAATAAAATATATAGTATATTATAATTTAATCTAATATAATATAATTTTATATAATTTAATTTAATTTAATGTAATATAATTTTATATAATATGATATAATATAATATAATATAATATAATTAATGTAATATAATATAATTAATGTAATATAATATAATCACATTCTCTGCAATTATTGGGTATATCTGTTTTCATATTTGTCTTTTTTTGCCTTGTGTTATTTCATTTTAAGTGCAAATGCTAAATTAATTTTTAGCTACATCTAGAAAAAAAGGTTCCTCTTTAAAACAGAACCCATCAGCAGAACTAAAGGGGTTGTTTTGGTGTCAAAATTTGATATAGATTACTTTTTTTGTGCTGATTAAGCCTTTCTCAGTTCTTTTGGTTTATAAACATGTCCAGACCCAACAGTGAGATTTTTCAAGTTTCAAGAGATCTGCAACATCAACAGCCTGAGGTATCAAGACATCTCTGCTGCCCATTACATTACAAACCACAGGAGAGGGACAATTCTCCAGCAGGATAGCGCTCCTGCTCATACTTCAGAATCAAGTAGTCCAGTTATTATTTCCTGTTAAAACTTGGATAGGCCACAAGACTTTTGTCAGGTAGTGTATATATTAATCCAGCTAAAATGAGTTTACAGTGTGTTCTGTACACTCATCGATTAACACCTGAGTAAATTATTAGCAGGATGAAGCGTGAAGCAATATTATCAAAACGGCTTCAAACCAGGGTTGGCGAAAGTTACTTTTGAAAGTAATGCATTACAATATTGAGTTACTCCCCAAAAAGGTTACTGGTTGCTGTATGGTAAGTACTATTACTTTTAAATTACTTTTCTTACCTAACTGAGGCTTGATCTCTTTCAGAACTAGCAGGATTTTGCTTCTTTTTTAATAGAGGAGCTCTGCAATTAACAATGCACTGTATAATCTTCATTTACCTTTAAAAAAACACATAAAAATTATAATTTAGGATAATAGAATATGCTGTGAACTTCCTGACGCAAAGCTCTACATGCTGTACTGTATATACAGATTAATGAACATTTAAAGCAATTGGTTTGCTACTTTTGTTCTTTTAGTATTATTATCACAGTAAAATCAGTGTGCATTGAGACTTTAATCCCATTACCTTTTCTTCATGTGTTCAAAATAATGAGAATGGTAGAAATGTTTAGCTCTGTCATCTTGCTTTCTGTCTGTTCTTGCATTCTCTTATTAACTGTGTGATTTATTGCGACTAAATTAAAATTAATTCTGCTATTTATTTTTTAAAAGCTATTTAATTCAATTCAATTCATTTCAGTTTTATTTGTACAGCACTTTTACAATGTAGATTGTGTCAAAGCAGCTTCACATAGAAGATCATAGTAAATATAAACAGTGTAGTTCAGTTTTCAGAAGTTCAGTTTAGTTCAGTTCAGTGTGGTTTAATAATCACTACTGAGAGTCCAAACACTGAAGAGCAAATCCATCAATGTACAGCTCTACAGATCCAGAATCATGCAAGCCAGTGGCGACAGCTGAGAGGGAAAAACTTTACCTATTGGCGAAAGTGAAGAATTAAAAAACCTGGAGAGAAACCAGGCTCATATGGGCACGACCATTTCTCCACTGGCCAAACGTCTTGTGCAGAGCTGCAGTCTAGCTGCTGGAGGCTGGAAAGCGTTTGACATCAGCGAGATTTGTCTGTCCCTGGAGTCTCACATGAATCAGTCTCATCCTCTCCCCTCCTCCATGACCACCACAGCAGCTGCTCAGGATACGGCCTGGTCCAGGATTATGGAAACCTTGAGATCATATCGTCGCTGGTCTTGGATCGCATCAGTGGCACTGCATAGTCTGAGGGTCTCGGGATGAGAATCCCCAGGTGGAAATGGAGAATAAAGAGAATAATTAGCGTCGCTGCTGTTCATAGTGCATGTAAATGAGATGCAGAAACCTGTGTGGAGCACATTCATGCATCATACCGCTAACTGATGCACTGAGTGTATGCTTTACTAAACAGATAGGGTCTTTAAACTAGTTTTAAACTGAAAGAGTGTGTCTGAGCCTCGGACGTTATCAAGAAGGCTATTCTAGAGTGTAGGAGCCATAAATGAGAAGGCTCGACCTCCTTTAGTGGACTGCTATTCTAGGCACTACCAGAAGCCCTGAGTTTTGAGATCTTAAAGAGCGGGTTGGATTGTAGCGAGACAGAAGGTTGGTTAGATAAACAGGAGCTCGATTATTTAGAGCTTTATAGGTGAGAAGTAATATTTTAAATTCAATACGAAACTCAACAGGCAGCCAGTGTAAGGAGGATAACACTGGGGTAATATGATCGTACTATCTTGGCCTGGTCAGAACTCTGGCTGCTGCATTTTGTACAAATTACAATTTGTTAATAGAGGATGCTGGGCAGCCAGCAAATAGAGCATTACAGTAATCCAGCCTCGAATTCATAAAAGCATGGACTAGCTTTTCTGCATCTGAGATGGATAGCATATTTCGTAATTTAGCGATATTTCTCAGATGAAAGAAGGCAGTTTTGTGACATGGGATATATGGTTTTCCAAAGTTAAATTGCTGTCTAATATGACACCTTTTATAGTAGCGCTAACGCTAACTTTGTATCCCTCTAATTGTAGATTGATTTGTGAGATCTGCTGTGTACAAGATTTAGGCAGCTCGCTCTCTGCAACTCTCACATGATCGCCCACTGAAGCTAAGTAGGGCTGCGCCCGGTCAGTATCTAGACGGGAGACCACATGGGAAAGCTAGGTTGCTGCCGGAAGTTGTGTTAGTGAGGCCAGCTGGGGGCGATCAACCTGCGGTCTGTGTGGGTCCTAATGCCCCAGTATAGTGACGGGGACTCTATACTGCTCAGTGAGCGCCGTCTTTTGGATGAGACGTTAAACTGAAGTCCTGACTCTCTGTGCTCTTAATAATCCCAGGATGTCCTTGGTCCCTGTCTTTCATGGCCTCCTAACCCTCCCCATATCATAATTGGCTTCATCACTCTGTCTCCTCTCCACCAATCAGCTGGTGTGTGGTCTGGCACAATATATGCCGTCACGTCATCCAGGTGGATTCTTCACTCTGGTGGTGCATGAGGAGATCCCCCCCCCCCCCCTGTGTGTAAAGCGCTTTGAGTGCAGAGGAAAGCGCTATATAAATGTAAGGAATTATTATTATTATTTAGGCCCAATAAGTAATAATTCTGTTTTGTCTGAGTTTAAGGGAAGGAAATTGTTGGTTATACTAAAAAGTAATGTGTATTACATTTTTAAAAAGTAACTAATATTATTACTGAATCTTTCAAAAGTAATTAATTACTTTACTGGTTACTTAGAAAAGTCATATTATTATTTAACTCAGTTTACCATGACAGTTCATAACAACCCAGTGTGATATTTTCTGTTCAGGCTGGAGTGCTGCAATATAGATGAGGAAGGCTGTGCTGCTCTGGCTTTAGCACTGATATCTAACCCGTCTCATCTGAGAGAACTCAATCTGAATTACAACAATCCAGGAGGCCTTGGAGTGAAGCTTCTGTCTGTTCTTCTGAAGAATCCACACTGTAAACTGGAGAAACTGGAGTGAGTGGTATTTATTACTTTATTATGGCAATCAGGCAATGAGCGCTATGACCAAAATCCTATATCATGATAACAGATTGCAAATACCTTTAAGCAATTCTTTTACATAATTTAGATGACCAGTCTGGATGCATGCAGAAAGTTGCACAATTTGTTTACATTTAGCATTTTATTTATCAACATGTTATATTGCGCTTGCAATAATTACTTTCTTTTTTAAAGTGCTTTATAATTCATTACTCTGTATTTTATTCATTCATTAATTTTCCATCGGCTTGCTCCCTTTATTCATCAGTGGTTGCCACAGTGGAATGAACCGCCAACTTATCCAGCAAATGTTTTACACAGCGGATGCCCTTCCAGCCGCAACCCAGTACTGGGAAACACCCATACATACTCATTCACACACACGCTCATACACTATGGCCAATGTAGCTCATCAGTTCCCCTATAGCGCATGTGTTTGGACTGTGGGGGAAACCCACACGAACACAGGCAGAACATGCAAACTCCACACAGAAACGCCAACTGACACAGCCGGCACCTTCTTGCTGTGAGGCCACAGTGCTAACCACTTGGCCACCGTGCCGCCCCATAAAAGTCTCTTCAACTTCCAATTAATGCAGGCATTAATGATTATTATTATTTTTAATTTTTTATATTGTAGCCAACTTGCTGCTGTAAACAGGAGCATGCAGTGCTTGCCCTGCCTCCGAGTCCTTTTGGGGTGCGTTTCTGAAAACCATCATTAGCCAACTAAGGTCAAAAGTTCCTTTGTTACAAATATAGTTTGTTGATATGGCCTATCCCAAATCCATTGTTCCAACAAACATTCGCAAACTGCATTGCAAACTTGTGCACTTCCAACTATACTTCTGGAGCTGTAGTTAGAAAGAGAGATCCTGGCTTTGTTCCATTCCCTCTTATCCCCCCATGCCCTATTCATTAAGAACATTCTGACATTTAAACTTAGAACTATTTCAAAAATAAAGCAGTAAAGTCATCTCTCTTAGGTGTAATTTGCTTTCAAACTATTTTTACAGTTCAGCTTTAGCGATCTTCATGTTTACAATTGAACCTTCGCTAAGCCCCGCCCTGCTTAGTTACTGTTTCTACGCCTGTCAAGATATTTTGTGAGATATTCGAGAAAGCCAGACAAAAAAAGCACTGCAGTATGTGTTACAGGGGTATACTCACCACATAATAGGCAACTGATTGTTAGAGAATAATTCAATCAAAGTTGAAGCTAGCTTAGCCTAGCCGCTTCATACGCTGCCCATCCTTAGCTCATGTTCAGCAGGAGAGATGACATTTACAAATAATCTAATAATAACAAATGAAACTGTGATTTATCTATTTTTGGCCAAAAAGCCTGATAGACTATTGTTGTGCAATGAAATATAGCGCTACTAACCCACAAGGAAACACGCATGACTGCTTCTACATAGTTCATTCATAGAAAGAGCAGCCAGAAAGGGGAAACTGATGGACTTGTGCCAAATATAAGCATCATTGACTCATAACAAAGTACAGTAAGTTGACTATTACTGTCAGTGTGTTTGTGTGCTCTTTATAAATTAATGAAAAACAGCTGCGGGTAGTTAACGTTAATGTATATTAATCGCAAGTGCTCAGTTTGTGATCATATCTCGGTTTTGCTCTGTTGATTTGTAATTTCAAATATTCGTAGCTTGAAATAGATGGAAAGTTCAAGAATGAAATTCAGTAAAGTTAGCTGCAGATTCGCAGATTCGTATTTTCTGGATCATGTCATTATGATCTATTCTCTATTAGTATGACTAACGTTACTATGGCGAAGGCTTAAACTGAGAATTACTTATAATATCGAGCGAAAAAAAAAGAAAAAGACAGCTGTGAAGCATTACCTGCTTTGTGTTTTTGTAGGAAACGCAGTTTAGATCTGTTTAGGGTGAGAGGTGTGTGAGTTATTGCTACCTGTCTATCACTGAATGTGTCAGGAATATCAAAACAAAACTAACTTAGCCCCGCTCCTTTAGCGCCCCTCACACAGCTTGATCCACGCTGGCATTTCTCCTCTGGGGTTTTTGGTTTTGAAAAGGGAAAAAATTCTACGCTTTGGCCTGTTTCCCTCGCTTGAAAGCTTGATAGAGCCCCTGCGCGTAGCTACAGTTGCTAATCCACGATTGGTGGGTGGCGGTTATTGGGTGTGGCTTAACGAAGGGTCTCTTGCGCCCCAATAATATCCAGCTGCAGACCCGCAGAACCACACACGTTTCAGGCACACACAATCCAGCACACACAATCTAGGCAAACCATATATGGTTACGGCGAATGTTAATGTTAACATATTTTCAGACATTATCATCAATATATTTTTAAATATAGTTAATAAATATTGTACACCATAAACAATAGCGCATTCTATTTTACCAATATGGTGATCATGACGGGTAAATGGAAAACGTTGTTCGCCATTCAATATAATGGACTAAGTTTTCTATCATCCATCATAGATGATCAATCACCATTTATCTGTCAGTATGGCAGATACTCGTTTGCTGGCCTTGCTGAGCGATATAAATTGGACAGGTTTAATTTATATAATGGATTCATTTATAATGAAGGAAAATCAAGTTAATATAGTCAATAATACATCTTTATATGTAATACAAATCTTTTTACACGTTTAAATGTATTTATTAATATTTTACTGAAGTAATTAATAGTATTTATTTGCTTAATTTTCTAATAACTTTTTTATTTAGGATTTCCCACATTAAATACTATAATTTATAGTAAGTAATATTTTGTTTTTAAAACATAAAGTACTGGTAATTTGTGGTAATTGTTGCAACAAATTTAGCAATACAAGCAAATTAACTGTTAATAATTTTATATATATATATATATATATATATATATATATATATATATATATATATATATATAACAGTTGCTACAGTTTAGTAAAGGTTTTAGTAAAGGTTATATAATTAGATAATCAGTTAAGATTTATAGCTATTATATATTGTTTAAATGATTAACTATAGTAATTCATTTTAATGTGACATTATTGTTTGCTTTTTTATATTTAACAGCAAAACGATTTTAACCAAGTATGATAATATTATGATCCTTAATTAGATTATTATACTTAATTCCCTCTAATTTTCTACAGTTAGATGGTCTATTATGTTTTCTTTGTATGTGGATACATGAATAAAGTCATAAGTGTTTGACCAATTATTTTTATTTACGTAATCTGAGTTCAGAAAAGATAATAATGACTAATAATGACATGATGACTGAAGTGGGAAGCCATAAACCTTTCAAAGTCTAATGAATAGCAATTGTAGCACCGGCGGTCTCGATCGCCATATTTGTGAAATACAGTAGGTGGCGACAATGCTCTTAAGGAGTTAGTTAGTTACCATATATGGTTTGCCTAGATCGTGTGCGCTAGATTGTGTGTGCCTGGGACGAGTGTGGTTCTGCGGGTCTGCAGCTGGATATATCTCCTTGCGCTCCCTTTGAAAACATTGATGTCATTTTGAACACAGCCGTGGCGTGTCTCATGACGAACGCTATAGGTAAGCGATTATTTAAAAGCGGAATTTATGCTACTTGTTCAAAGTTTGTGAAAAAAAAAAAAGCATACGTTAATGCTTTTAATTTATAGTGGGTTGTTAATTATCTGTACTGTATATGACGTGTCAAATTATAAAAGTAGACTTTCAACATCATTAATATTATTATTGAAGTAAAGTTTTATTATTAAAAAGATTATTTTTCATTTCTAATAAATATTAAATGTCAATTTTTAATAAATTGCCTGATTATTTATTTATTTATAAGATTTATATGTGATATTAGAATACGTGTTAGCTTCTGTGAGTGATTTGATGTTTGAGAATAGGATATGTAATGTTGTCAGTAATATTTGTAAAGGAAGCGCAGGCTCTATATGTGTCGTTTACTTCAGTTAATATAGAAAGCGAGTGCATGTTTTTAACAAAACTAATATTGGATTTTATTTTTGATGTGTGTGTGTGTGTGTGTGTGTGTGTGTGTGTGTGTGTGTGTGTGTGTGTGTGTGTGTGTGTGTAGAACAATATAATTTGCGCAAATAAATGATAGGGTTCTTCTCTAAAGAAGCTGTTCCTCCACCCTGTTTAGAGCATCATTATGGGTGTTTTACGTTATAACTAACATGGTTCAAGCAATGGATCTGCGACAGAGAAACTACGGGTTTTGGGAAACACTTATCATTCTTTTCCCAAACCATGCATCATACTATGATAGTTCAGCTGTGAGTTACGTCATTGTTTGGGAAACGCACCTCTGATTGGACCCCTGCTGTGGAACTGACATTAATAAGCACTGCATTAAAAGTTGAAACACTTTTCTCTTGAAAAACACAGTGCTCATGCTGCAAAAGATGCATTGCAATGGAAAAACATGTTCTGTTTGAATGACCCCTTAGCACTGCTTTTTTTTACCTAGGCTTATGAAGCTGATAGATACCCTAACAGTTGATCCCAGCTATACCCAAGGTGAAACAATATAACCGTATAGATAACCTAGGTCCTTGTTTATCTGGTATGTGAAAGCTCTATATCGAACCAAATCATGTTCTGAGACTTTATTCTAATTAATGCATTTCTGCATTTATGCTTTGTTTGTGTGTTTATTTTAGCCCCAGGTTATTACTGCTCAGCATTGCTACTTAACTAAGTGTGTCTTTCTCTTTGTCTCTGCAGGTTGTCTCATTGCAGTATTTCAGAGAATTACCTTGCTGCTCTAAATTCAGCTCTGAGTTCAAACCCAGCACACTTGAGGGAACTCAATTTGAACTACAATGAGAACACTAGACAATGACACAAATCAACTAGAAGCACAGCAATTTAAACTAGTTAGGCTGTGTGTTTTATATACAAGCATATGATGTGTGTTTATATATAATATATTCATCCTCCTGTTTGAATTCTTTCTCAAATACTTCCCAAGTGATGTTTAACAGAGCAAGGACAGTTTCACAGTATTTCCTGTTATGTTTTTTTATCTGGAACAAAAAACATTTTTTTGTTTAGCTAGAATGAAATTATTATGGTCAAATAAGCGTAATCTAGAGGCCTTTGTCTTTCATATAAGCGACTTCTGACACCAAAGGATCAACTAAAGGTCAATGTATTATTTCTGTTCCTAAAACTTGGATAGGCCACAAGACTTTAGTCAGGTAGCGTATACTATATATCATGATAAAAGTATTAGCATTTAATAGCAATAAGAAAATTATCATTATAAGCTTAGTTTCATTTGGAAATACATCATCATACTGAAAAGTCTGCAGAAGCTTCAAGTTCACTCAGGCTTTAGATTATAAATGCAGCTCCAGTGAGCTGATGATGTATATATTCAATGCATATACTTTATAACTTAAGATGTAATGTTTTATTTGAACTTCATTTAATCTGGTGAAAGCTTTACTGAGAATCAAAATCTTATACAGGACTGTCCTGACTATAGGCAGCCTGGATATGCAAATACAAATATGACAAGTCACAACAAATAATGAAAAAACACAAACATAGAGCTTTAAAAGCTTGCATATGTTTAGCTCACGCAAAACAATTTAAGAATTACTTAAGGACACACATTTACATTTCGTTTCATTTCCAGTTATAATCTGAGTGGTGGCTGCATTTAAAAATGCTTGGACTTTTAAAGGGAGAGTTCAACCCAAAACAATGCACTTTCTTTTTTATGGAGCTATCCTCCATAGATAGCAAGGGTCCTGAGACACTCAAAGTGCAGAAGAATACTAAAAACCTCCACAAAACAGACAATATGCATTTAGAGTTTCAATCAGAATGTTATCCAGATAAAAAACTTTTGCGTGCTCATAATATTCAATTCAGTTCAGCTTTATTTGTACAGCACTTTTACAATGTACATTGTGTCAAAGCAGCGTCACATAGATCATAGTGAATTGAAACAGTGTTCAGTTTTCAGAAGTTCAGTTTAGTTCAGTTCAGTGTGGTTTAATAATCACTACTGAGAGTCCAAACACTGAAGAGCAAATCCATCAACGTACAGCTCTACAGATCCAGAATCATGCAAGCTAGAGGCGACAGCTGAGAGGGAAAAACTTTACCTATTGGCGAAAGTGAAGAATTTAAAAACCGGGAGAGAAACCTGGCTCATATGGGCACAAACATTTCTCCACTGGCCAAACGTCTTGTGCAGAGCTGCAGTCTAGCTGCTGGAGGCTGGAAAGCTGGACCTTAGTGAAGACTTGTCAATAATACAATATAATACAATGTTACGATTTGATAAGTTGTCTAGGGAGAGTAAACGTAACATTTAGATTATATCATTACTGAAGTAAATAGATGGAAATAAAAAAGGACACAATCTTAACAATTAATTAGTTTATTCCTCTATCAGTAAAAAAAGTAATAAAGCCAAAAAAGAGAGGCATGTGTGCACTTTGTTTTTTTTATATACTCAATATAAAAAAATTATAATTTATAGAAACTTAAAGGTATTTATCATAGTCAGTAGTTAGCTCTCTGCAACTCTCACATGGTCACCCACTGAAGCTAAGCAGGGCTGCGTTCAGTAAGTATCTGGATGGGAGACCACATGGGAAAGCTAATGTTGCTGCCGGAAGTAGTGTTCCTGAGGCCAGCAGGGGGCGATCAACCTGCGGTCTGTGTGGGTCCTAATGCCCCAGTATAGTGAAGGGGACACTATACTGTCAGTGAGCGCCGTCTTTCAGATGAGAATTTAAACCAAAGTCCTGACCCTTTGTGATCATTAATAATCCCAGGATGTCCTTGGTAAAAGAGTAGGGGTTTCACCCCGGCACCCTGGCCAAATCTGTCCACTGGCCTCTGTCCATCCGCATATCATAATTGGCTTCATCACTCTGTCTCCTCTCCACCAGTTAGCTGGTGTGTGGTCTGGCGCATTATAACTGCCGTCACGTCATCCAGGTGGATTCTGCACACTGGTGCTGGATGAGGAGTTTCTACTCAATAAATGTAAAGTGCTTTGAGTGTGTAGAAAAGCATTACATAAATGTAAGGAGTTATTATTATTTTTTGGGGGCCTCCTGATTACCTAGGGCCCTAATTGGCTGCTTATCTTGTTTATTGGCTAAGTCCATCCCTGCTTTTATAGTGTCACAGCATAGCTCACATTGTATGCACACGACACAGGAGTGCAGCAAATTTATTAAATTTATATGTAACTATTTAAATGTGATTTTCAACTTAAAGTTAACATTAATCGACAACTATATAATATAATATTTAAATAAAATATATATTAAATAAATTATAAGAAACTAAAAAAGACCATTAGATTCAAATATGCTATGTGTAAATGTCTTTAATTTGGAGCAAAAAAGACAAGGACTGAAGAGGCTCAAGTGTGTATATGTATTACATCCGGATTTAATTTTAATTCTGAAAAGAAGATTGAGTGTTCAAACAAACCCTTCTTCTTCTTAAGCGGAAAACTCAGTTCGCTCTAAACATTCATTTCAAAATCCCCAAAACGGCTTGGTGCAACAGGCTTCTGGTGTTTTCTGAAGTGTGCAGAAAGTCACCAACAGGAGGCGCCAGTGTCACACTTTAATCAACGTTAAGCCTGATTTATACTTCTGCGTCAAGTGACCGGCGTAACTCACAGCGCAGGCAACGCGCGTGGCTGTGCATTTATACTTCTGCTGCTGTCTCTGTTGGTCTGCATTAACACTTCCGAAACGCTAGTTGATAGTGAGGTGTAAATGTTCCTCTGTGTCGAGTTTCTTCGCTTCTGTTTTGCTTTTCTGAACACTTCCAGGATGTACAAGTGGCTCTAACTCGCTCATTTTGAGACAGGAACCGGCGGACGTGCAGCAACTTTAACTATGAGGTAAACACAAAACAAAACTTTCCTTCCGGAGCTCCTTCACGGGACTCCACACTTGTAAACAATCGCTCCATTGTGCTCGCGTCCAGCTCGCGCCATTCGCGCGGCTCTCAGTCCCGCCCAGACTCGTCAGCGCTACCAAGCCGACCAATCACAGAGCTTGCGATACGCGTCATTGCGACGTGTAGTTACATTTTTGAGAGGTGCACGTCAGCGACGCCGACGGCCACAGCGAAGGGCTATGCGTCAGCGCCGTAGCATACGCCAGCGTTTGACGCAGAAGTATAAATCAGCCTACACGCTCAGATTGGTTCACCCCTAAACACATGGTTCACCATCGAAACTCCAAGTATTACCACGCCCTTATAGATGTTTTAAAGACATTTTAAATCTGTATTGTAATGCTGACTACTAATATTTACCAAGTGTTGTCTTTTACTGATTTTTAAGGTCAATCCAAAATCTATTCTCTATCACAGAGCCGAGTGCACAAGTTTGCACTCTCTTTCACAAACTGTTAATATATAAGATGTATGAATAAAATGTATCTTGTTATATTTTTAGTAGCTACTCTCCTTGGGAATCTATTTTGTATAATAGTTGCATTTCACAAGACGCTCTTTTTCTGTCGGTGATGCCTGTTGTTAGTCTTCATTGTTTTAAAGTACTTGTTTCTGAAAGGTGGCACAAAAATAAAAAAATGTTAACTAAATTGACTGATATTGTTTATTTATTGTTTTCTGGCCCTTTCCATGTTTGTGCTCTTTCCAGCAGTAACTGATAACGTTGACAATGAGTAATAATGGCAAGGAAAAAATCCACTTGTTTTTGTTTTGTTTAAAAAAAAGAAAAATTAGGATGTTGCATCAAAGCATAGATCAGTAGCTTAGTTCTTCAGCGTCTCAGGAGGTTTGGAATGAGCCCTCGCATCCTCCGCTCGTTCTACACCTGCACTGTGGAGAGCATCCTGTCTGGCTGTGTCACCACCTGGTATGGAAATAGCACCAGCAGCAATCGCAAAGGCCTACATAGGATTGTGCGAACTGCTGGACGCATAGTAGGAGGTGAGCTTCCCTCCCTCCAGGACATCTAGACCAGGCGGTGCATGAGGAAAGACAAGAGAATTATCAGTGACTCCAGCCACCCAAGCCATAGACTTTTCTCTCTGCTGCCCTCAGGCAGACGATTCCACAGCATCCGATCACGCACCAGCCGGCTGAAGGAGAGCTTCTTCTCTCAGACTATCAGGCTGATGAACACTTAACACACCCCATTCAGGGCCTACTCACACTATGCCATCCGTACCGTGCCCAGGCCCGTTTCCCGGATCGTTTGAGAAGTGTGAGTGCGCTGAATCGGGCTCAAGCACGGTTCACTTGGTCGGCCCTGGCCCGGTTGGAAGAGGTGTGCCTGAGCGCGGATCACTTAGGCTTTGGCGCGGTACGCTTGTGTGTGATCGCAAAACGCGCCAAAGCCCGAAACCGAAAGCGAGACGTGACTTTTAAGGGACTGTTACATATGGATTTATTAATCATTCTTACTGTTCAGTGATCGCAAACTGCCGTAATTTATTAAAGACGCAAACTCCTCACAGCACGTCAGCTGCGCGCCTTCAGCAGACCTCCTCATTCCTGCAGCACGAGAGCTTTATGATTGTTTATGAGCGCCAAAAGTGGCGGATCTGTTCGGCGAAATATCTGACTGCGTGTCCCCGCATCCCTAAGGACTGTTTGGCGAAATATTTGACTGCATGTCACTGCATAACAAACCACTGACACGATATAACTAGAGAAATCTCCACTGTGCTGCTGGGTGAGAGCGTATGGCAAGCCGTTTTAGCATTTAAACCTTGTTCTGACTATCCATAAATATATTTAGAGATATAATTATATTTTGACTAGTCATAATTATAATTCGACTAGTCAGAATAACAATTAGAGATATCTGCAATTACAATTGTACTAGTACGAAATCAGATTGGAGATATCTGCAAATATATTATGACTAGTCATATTCCTCCATTGACTTCCATTGAAAAATATTTGCAGATATCTCTGAGTTTTGACTCGTCAAAAATCCAATTCAATATATCTACAACTGTAATTCGACTATTAGTAAATTAATTAGAGATATCTTCAAATATATTTGTAAATATCTCTAAATATGATGAATTAAAGACATCTCCAAATGTATTATGACTAGTAAAAATTCAGTTAGAGATATCTCTAATTACAATTGTGACTAGTCAAAACTCATTTAGAGATATCTGCAAATATTTTTCAATGGAAGTCAATGAAGGAATATGACGAGTCAGTCATAATATGTTTGCAGATATCTCCAATCTGATTTCGTACTAGTACTATTGCAATTGCAGATATCTCTAATTGTTATTCTAACTAGTCGAATTATAATTATGACTAGTCAAAATATAATTAGAGATATCTCTAAATATATTTATGGAGTCAGAACAAAGATTTAAATGCTAAAAAGGCTTGCCATAGAGAGCGCTTCTGAACAGCGCAGCAGCGATGACGTAAGCGTGCCGAGGCCCGATATGGTGTGAGCTCGGGCCGTCAGGGGAGACGGGAGGGGGGACAAGCGTGCTTTGGCCCGGTTCGAGGCAACTGTACCTAGTGTGAGTACGGCCTCAGACTCTTCCACAGCCTCACTGCACACCATCAAAATGTAGCATGCACTGCACTTTAACCAATCCATACTTGAAACAATACTGCCTACAACAACTATGTGGACACCTATTCAGTGTACATATCGCTGTCAATTTCACATTGTCATTGTATTTGCACTATCTGTATTTTGTACTGTCTGGAGCCAGCACCTAAGCTTTTCACTCATCACACGTGCTGCTGATGATGTGACAATAAAAGGGATTTGATTTGATATTAAAACAAGACTCTAGAGCTGGGATGGGCAAAGTTAGACCTGGAGGGCTGGTGTCCTGCACAGTTTAGCTCCAGAACTAATCAAACACACCTGAACGTGCTAATCAGCATCTTTAAGTGCACTATAAATTTATAAGCAGGTGTGTTTGATAAGTGTTAGAGCTAAACTGTGCAAGACAACGACCCTCCAGGGCAGTTTGCCCACCCCTGCTCTAGACAAAGTGAATATTTCCTTGCTCGCGTTCTACCACCTCTGAAAGTTTGAGCTCTATTTGGGCTAGGGATCTTAACATAGACATCGGAGAAGATGTTTGGTCGGCAATTTTAAAATAGGTCCATACATTATCTGTATATGCTGGGATTATACAGTGCAAAGTAGTCCACAGCACAGAGTTCACTGGTCTAAGTGTAAACTGGCTCACATGTTCCCTGCTGTTGGTCCAAATTGTGACAAACGTCATGCTGGACCTGCACATCTAGTTCACGTGTGATTTTGGATCTGACCTGCTTTGTTTCCTTTCAAGGAGTCTGTTTAGGATTAATTTTCAGTAATTGCATCTATTAAAATGGATCCTTCTCCGTTATTTGGCTTGTTTGGACTTCTGCCCCCCTGACTGTGAGTTACCATTTTATTTTTCTGAATTAATAGCTTTTTGTTATGTGTATTTTGTTGCAGTGAAAGTCTCCTCAACCCCATCCTATACTCAATGGATTAAAGACGCCTTACTTTTTGTTAAACTACACGAAATTCAATATAGTGTTCGTGATTCAGTGATTAAATTTTCGTACATGTTTGGAGAATGTTAAATATGTTAAATCTCTGAGACTGGGGGCAGTTATTGTAGAATAAATGGTTACCCATCTTGCATTCTGACTTTTGTCAGGTAGTGTACTGTTTGTTGAACAATATATGGGTTCTAGTGTGGTTTATTTTTAATAAATGTTGTACTGTTTATATATATATATATATATATATATATATATATATATATATATATATATATATATATATATATATATATATATATATTTTTTTTTTTTTCCCCAGAGATGGGTTGCGGCTGAAAGGGCATCCGCTGCGTAAAAACTTGCTGGATAAGTTGGCGGTTCATACATATATATATATATATATATATATATATATATATATATATATATATATATATATATATATATATATATATATATATATATATAAATAAATATATATACATATATTTTATTATTATTATTATTATTGTTTTTTGTACTCTTGTTTATTTTACTGACATGAAAATCTATATGCACTGTTCAAACAAACCTTGCTGTGTCGTGTTTTTCTGCAAAATGGTTTCAAGTTTTAGCCAAGAAGATTTCATTCATTAATTTTCTTGTCGGCTTAGTCCCTTTATTAATCCGGGGTTGCCACAGCAGAATGAACCGACAACTCATCCAGCACATTTTTACGCCGCGGATGCCCTTTCAGCCGCAACCCATCTCTGGGAAACATCTATCCCTACCCCAACCCTAATTCCAACCCTCACAGTAAAACAGTAATTATACAGGGTATTATACGTGTTATTTAATAATTTACTCATTAAATTGTATTTTATTAATGTCTACCCTTCACCAACCCTTATAGTAATGTAAAACAGTAATTATGCAGAGCATTATTCATATTATTTATTAAATTAACCATTTATTGCATTTTAATGGCTACCCCACCACAATCCTAAACACAAGCATAGTAATAAAATGTAATGTCACAGTAATGTAATTTAAAAATGTCAGTTACTGTTTGTTCAGTCAGTGTCACAAAAATGATGCTATGTGAGTATCCGCAGTTGTTTCCCTTCAAGACTTCACCAAAATTTTCAACGGACCTTTTCAATATAAATAAAAATGTCTGCCGAAAAAAGTGTGGTGAAAACTTCGGAAGCATGTCATGGTTAATCTTGAGCATCTACGTTATCTTGCATCGCTTTAGCCTACTCGTAAATAAAAAATAAAACAAGCTTTTGCCCTGGTGATGGAGCAGCTGCTGTCCGCGGTGCTGAAGCCCTCCTGAACCCGCAGTGTGTAACTTTGCTGAAGATTTTCTGTTGTCGAATTCCTCCAGTCAGACTATAATGAATTGTTGTTATTATTTCAGATCTGATGCTTTGATCTCCATCCGCGCGCGCTCAGGGCGGGTCGTGTGACGTCACGCGCGCGCGTTCATCCGACCAGACACTCGGCGAGTCCGCGCGACCCTCACGGATATTTTACACCTCAAAAACCTCAACAAGGCGACCAGTTAAAGAGCAGCCGAGGAAATAAAGCAAAGGCAGAGACATGTCAGTGGCAGGGTTGAAAAAGCAATTCCACAAAGCGACTCAGGTAAGGCAGAATCCATCCCTCATTCTCTCGCGGTCATGATGACACGGTGCGCTCGGTACATCACTCAGCAACACCGTCCGTTTAAGCTTGGGTTAAAACATTCGAGATGCTTCAGTAACCGACGGTAAAATCGCCGGGTAATGTGCTTGTTTGTGAATGTATGAAATGAAAACAGCGCGAGACCAGACGCCGTCACGTGACGTCAAATATTCACGCGCGTTATGTAATCGGCCGCGCGCTTTAACGGTCACCTGAAGAGAACGCGGTTTACTATGTTGTTTTGTGTAATTGCTTTATCTTGTTATCAGTTATTATTACAATACACAAATAGTTTTTTAATTAATGTAACGATCTGATCACTTGTATAGATATCACCTTTTTGTAAAGTACACTATACACTCACCGGCCACTTTATTAGGTACAGCTTAGTACCATGTTGTACCCGCATTTGCCTTTAGAACTGCCTTAATCCTTGGTGTAACAGATTCAACAAGCTACTGGAAATATTCCTCAGAGATTTTGCTCCATATTGTCATGATAGCATCACACAGTTGCTGCAGATTTGCCGGCTGCACATCCATGATGCCAATCTCCCGTTCCACCACATCCCAAAGCTGCTCTATTGGATGGAGCTCTGGTGACTGTGGAGGCCACTTGAGTACAGTAAACTCATTGTAGCCGACATTTCTTCATAATCAACAAAACATCTTCATATCTGTGTAAACTCAAAAATAACCATTGATTTTAACCAGTTTGAAATATATAATATTAATAGATTTTTTCACATCCCATTACCCCAATTCCACATAATTCAATTATCTCTTCAAATAATTTCATACTTTATTCTTACATATTATATGTTCCCTACCCAAATATATACAGGCCTGTGGCCAGCCTGGTAAAAGGGGTGGTTCTTTTTTCTCAAAAAGTGGACCTTTTTGCAGTTATTCACCTCATTTTCGATGTAATTATGAGATTAAAATACAGCATTTTAGTGGCACTTTAAGCACTATTTTTAGCTGGATTAGCTTGTCAGATGGTCATCATAACCACACTTTTTTAAGGTATACCAAAAACATTTTGCTAAAATATTTAGAATGAAGAAATATGAGAAAAAAATTAAATACAAACTTGTTACATCATACTGTATATCATTGGGAAAACTGCAGCTTATTGTCATTTATTTAGCAAATAACAAACTGGCCAGCACATTCAACTTTTCTCAGTCAGAATTTAGTCATCTGAATAAAAAAAAAAAACAAATAAAAAAAACATTAATTTTGATAATGTAGCGTTTCTTGATTTTTTAATTTTTTTGGTACAATCGTAAAAGTTCATTCATAACAAAAATAGTCTAATTAATATAAATGATAATTATAATTCACCTGTACTGCATGTCTTTGGACTTGTGGGGGAAACCAGCGCACCCAGAGGAAACCCACATGAACACTGTGAGAACATGCAAACTCCATACAGAAATGCCAACTGACCCAGCCGTGACTCAAACCAGCGACCTTCTTGCTGTTTGGTGGCAGCACTACCGACTGTGCCACTGTGCCGCCCAGATTTACATTTGTCTATATTATAAACCCAAACTACATAGTACAGCTCCTTAGTATTCACAATACATTCATTCATCACGTTGTCCTCCATATATAATGTCCACCCCAGTGGTTCCCAACAGGGGGGTCCTGGCCCACAAGGGGGTCTCAGCGAGCTCTGTGTAGGGTCGTGTCATATTTATAAAACATGTTAGCAGTGGACAATTAGGAGAACGATCAGTTTGTTTAAGTTCATTTTATCTGGCTGACCAAAAAGTGGACAAATTTGTAATTTGTACTCCACAAAAAAAGACAGAGGCTGCCGAAACCGCATACTTCCATACTATATAGTATGCTAAAATTAGTATTCGAGCTGAGTAGTACGTCCGAATTCATTGAATTTGAAAATCAATATGCGAGAAGTACCTGGATGACTTACTACCTCCAGCTAGATTCTGGAGTGCGCCCTGAGAGAATTCATGAATGGGAGTGAAGCGATGCAACTGACACAAGTAGGTCACGTGACCATGACAAAATGGCGAATGTAGTATGCCTGAAATCCTGTCATACTTCTTAGATTCATATTGTATAGAACGTACAATTCTTAAGGCTAAGTTGTACGTTTAAATCCAAATGCAGTACCTACTGAGTAGTAGGCAGTTTCGTATGCAGCCAGAGTCTTACTGATTCACCTTCAGTAGCTAATAATAATGACCCAAGCACACTGGACCCAGGTGAGGAAGCTCCAAACATTTCAGGTCAAAGTGCTAGCAATACTGCAAACACCAAGATAGTTACCTGAACTATGGTTTTATTTATTTTTCTCGATGCAAAGAGTCCCTGACCCAGCCACAGTGCATTCATTCATTTTCTTTTTGGCTTAGTCCCTTTATTAATCCGGGGTCGCCACAGCGGAATGAACCGCCAACTTATCCAGCATATGTTTTACACAGCGGATGGCCTTCCAGCTGCAACCCATCACTGGGAAACATCCATACACACACATTCACACACATATATACTACAGTCAATTTAGCTCACCCAATTGACCTGTGATATGTTTGGACTGTGAGGGAAACCGGAGGAAACCCACACCAACACGGGGAGAACATGCAAACTCCACACAGAAACGCCAACTGACCCAGCTTATGCATTATCTGCGCCAAAGTTCTTGCTGATTGCATGAGGCCGTCCAAACTAATAAGAAATTTGCAGACGACTCATCCCCAATATCGCCAGGATTACCCAATACAAATGTTTTGCTTTTATATTTTACATTAGGCTCTAATTTGTGCATAAACATGTCTAGATTTAGTAATAAACAAACCAGCTTTTTTTGACCTACTGCAAACCTGTATGAGTGATAATTTTATTATATCTGGAGGGGGTCTTGCAATATTTTCCGGGGGAAAGGGGGTCTTAGGCAAAAAAACTGGCCCACCCTATGCACCAGAACTGATTTCGACTGTAATGTATTACGGTTCACCTTTTGTAAAGCTGCTTCAGAATTGCAAAATTTCAATTATTAATACATCATTCATTATATTTGTGGAAAACTGTTCATAACCTCAATAGTGGCATGTTTTGCTAAAGTTTTTGGTTAATAATATGAAACCTCAAGTCAATTATAAAGAAAATAAAGCGATTTTCTTTAAATTGTGAAGGTTTAGTGTGGTCATTAACTAAAATATAACTCTAAATGTGTCTTTTAAATTTATTTTTGTGTTTATCTGTGCTTTCTAAGTAAATAAATGAAATAAAAATAGAAATTAGTGACCTAAAATAGTGATTACTTTAAAATAAAAACTGGAATGTGTAAAAGCACTAGCAAAAAGCACAATTTTTGGCTCTTATTGATTATTAGCTCCAGCAATCGTCGTTAAATAAGAGGTCTCTTAGTAATGATAATGTCACGGGGGCGCAGTGGTCAGCACTGTGGCCTTACAGCAAGAAGGTCGCTGGTTTGAGTCCTGGCTATGTCAGTTGGCATTTCTATGTGGAGTTTGCATGTTCTCCCATTGCTAGCATGGGTTTCCTCCGGGTGCTCCTGTTTCCCCCACAGTCCAAACACATGCGCTATAGGGGAATTGATTAGTTCATTCCGCTGTGGTGACCCCTGATTAATAAAGGGATGAATGAATAATAAATCCTTGTATAAAATAGCTCGTCCTGCGTGATATGAAGGCCTCTCCTGCACCGAAAATAGAAACATGAATCAATACTCTGTCCTTACTACGTTCACACACACACACATATATGCGCACACACAAATCAATACAAGCAATGTCTCATCATCCACTGGTATATGTGTGGGTGTGTGGGTGTGTGTGCGTGTTCAGCTAGTTAGTTCAGTCTTCTCTGGTCATTAATGTTGCAACAGATAATAAATGTTGAATGTTGTTGAGTTCGTCAGATAAACGAAGAGAGAAAGAAACAGAACTGACAGATATAAAAGAGCAGAGAGAGTTCAGATGAAGCGTTTGATGCTGAGAGATCAGTGTGTGTGTGTGAAACTGGATGCTTGAACACATCACGTGTGTCTAGAGTCACACACACACAGTCTCTGCTGCTGGTGTGTGTGTTTTAATCAGATTACATGAAGTCACAACAAGTGTTGATCAAATAATTAAAAAAATGTTTTAATTAAATTTAAAATAGTATTAATATATTTTTTAATATCTGTAAATAAATTATTATAATTAATATAGCATGTAAAATCGAGATAAAAATGAATGTTAAGTTGAGAAAATTACTTTAAACAGATTAGAGCTGCACGATATTGTAAACGTTGGACATTGCAGTATTTTGTTTATATGCATTTTATATTGTTTTATATATAAAGTATATATTGAGATGTGAATTAAATTTCAGCTGCTTGAGTATCTCTATTTGGAAAGAAATCATTCATTAGGATTGATTGGGGTGATTGTGTAAGGGTGTGAATCATGTATAAAAATATTAAGAAAATTGAGCAATAATAATTGCAATAGAGCAACGAAAAGAGTCAAATAAACAGTGCTTAATGGTTCTTTAACATTATTCAGGAATAGAAATTAAAATGTAAAATAACACTATAGTCTTTATTGTATTAATTAAGTAAAATAATTTCTTATTAAAGTTACAGATGTTCATTTTTTGTGCCTGAATGCTTTAAACTCTTTTGAAATGCCTTTAAATTATAGTAAATTATAAACTTTTAATCTGTTATACTTTGCAATGACTCCAAAAATCTCTATTATAATGGCAACTTAAAATGGCATATCCTGTGATGTGACAATTGTGGACAGACACATTGCGATATCCATGCTGAAATCATATATATATGGTGCAGCCCTAATACAGATCAAAATGAAAGCATTATTTAATAATTATATTTTTAATCAATTTTTGACTGGGATATGCACTTGTTCACTGCAAAAACGAAGGTCTTGGTCAGCACATTTGAATTGTTTTCAAGCA